CACTTCAATCTCTCCAAAATTCATCAGTCAAGACTTGTGTTTGGTTGTTCATATAATCATCAAATGAAACGGTGATACAATGGATGTTGCCAAAAATTGTGCTGAGATTTGAGGCCACCCCCTGAATTGAGAATTGGCCGATTGTTGAGGATTACTGAGCTGTGCCGGCTTTAGAATAATGCTTTGTGGAGTCAGCTCACACGACGACAATCCCTTTTCCATCTGCATTTTACTCAAGCAGCTTCAATGTCAAGCCCGTGGGTTGCATTCAAATGGCATCTGAGTATGTTGTAAAGTAACTTGGGCCTTTATCTCTACAGTCTGGTAAAGCTCCTAATGACGATAAGCAAACTCAACAAACAATGAAACAAAGATTCACAACCGAGGACACAACATTTTATTATGCTGTGGGTTTTCTCAGCGTTGTTGAATAAGAGAGTTGGCTAGAACCGGCACGCCAGCAATAATATCTGACCCACGGGCAGATTACTTTGATAGCAGAAATAAATAAATTGATATCGGCTGTTGCTGAAATAGATCTCAGTCATGATAGATACAGTTACTCACACAATCACTTCCTCTTAAGTAATTGTGCCTCCAAAATAAAAGCGTGAGAACGTTTTTTGCAGTAATGCTTTATGTTGAGTTGATTGAGAGCTTTTACTTTGAAGAGTTCTGAAGGATATGTAAAAGAGACTCTGGCATGCTTGACACACCTCTGAAAAAGCCGTCAGTAAATGCGTGATTGGATTCCCCTGAATTTCCTCAGGGAAATGAAAATAAGCGTCCATAGCTTTATGAATGCGGATCAAACGCCGGGAAGCACACACACTGCAGCACATGCGTTATTGTGAGAATGTGTAAAAGTGTCCTCATAATCAATTTGTTTAATAACGGAAAAACCAACTGAGCTAAACAGGAACACAAGTATACAAGGACTTTAAGTAATTCGACTTTGCTGTGGGCTGCCATGTAATGGCTTGAAAAAAATTTGGATATTTAAACATATATAAATATCCACAGGCCAAATTTTACATAAAGATTTATATATCAATAATATATATTATTGATATATCAATCTTAATGTTGTGATAGCATGTACTGTCCAAATATTTTGACAAATGGATTAAATTGAATTAGGGTTCTTTGTGTGTGCTTAATTTTGGAGGGAAAGGGGACTGCTCCCATAAGGTAGAATAAATTCACAGTATGTATACATTTAGATTTTTCTCATGCTTCTATTGTCATAATTACTCAAATCCTAATGCTATCTTATGTTAAGACATATTCACATTAACATGCACAACAATGAGTGCCAGAAGCTGAAGAAAGAAGTTTGGTCAATAGTGCAAAATAATCATAAAAAGGCAACCACTTGCATTCAGCTAAACATTTTATTACATATTAATTCAAAGGCGAGGCGTCTTCAAAGATATTCATTTCACCTCCTACAGGGAGAGAAAGATGGTAAATAGCAGGCCAGGAAAGGCATACAAGTGTTCAAAATAGCCATTGCATTCTTCCACCGCAAATGTAGGAAGAAAAGGAGATCTGGACCATAGATCTGGAAACTCGTTCGTTTTTGGTGAGGGCTCCATCACTGTCAAAAGCAGACTATGTCATAGGCCCCAGAGGAGACCGGGTCTTGAGTTGAGTTGAGCATGTCAGAGAGAACTGGGAGGGATCAAGAAAGATTAAACAGTGTTAGGGTTAAGACATTGAACGACACAGATTAAAGACACATTAAAAGGCGATGCTTTCCAAACATTTTCACGAGGTTGCAATTACAGAAGTGAGTGTAGACTCCTACAGTTAGGTACATACATATTTGGACAGGCATGATTTCTGTTATTTTGTACCCCAGTACAGAATTTAAAATGATTAAATATAGACTGCAAAATTCCTTAAATTTGTGGGTATTTTCAGATGTGTTAAGTGAAGCACATAGTAATTATAGCCATTTGACATTTGCCAATTTCAGAGGACCAAAGTTTATTGGACAAGTTTCAATAAACCTAAATGAAATTGTCACATTTACTACTACTTGGTGGTAGGGCTGACCCCGAATAGTCGAAGATTCAACGCTTCGATGGGCAGAGCCTGATTCGACTGTCAATCTTACAGTCGAAGCTTCGCAGCGAAACAAGGATCATGCCATTTTGGCTAAATGGGGGTGCTCAACGTCACTTTTCTCCCAACAAGTTAATATACAGCCAATTACAATATACATTTCAACGTTTGATGCTGTAAATAAATATGTAAAAAGAATAAAACTTTCAATAAATGTTTTTGAAGTGTGTGAATAAATCCAAAATTGTAACCCTAACCCTGGGGCATCAGTGCGCATGTGTAAGTGTATCGTGTATGTGTGCAGTGGAGGAACACTTGCTGAAGAGACGGAGCCCCAGCCTCACTGGTGTTGTGCCGAGTTGTCCGATCCTCACAAGACTTTCGGAAAATTTATCAGAGTTGATGAACCACATAAAGAATATTTTATTTATCCTTTTTAAATAGCTGGCTACTTGAAATAGACCTGCAAGGAACCGTGATGTGCATGCAGTTGTTGGCAGCAGTAATGCACGTAAAACTCTGCACAGGACCGGTGAAGGACAGGCGAGAGAGAGAGAGAGAGCGCCTCAGTTTAGCTGGAAATTGACAGGGTCAGTTAACTGAAAAGAGACTGCAGCTCTGCAGCTTCTCAAGATTAATGCGGCACTACCGTGTCCAAATGATATATCTGTATAAATCCCAAACCATTCCTTAGACCTGTAGGATGGCCCAACACCTAAACTCCTCCTTCCTCCAATTACAATGGTTTGGACATTGTGTTCCTCACCATCAGGAATCAGGGGTTAATCCCCAGAAACATTTCAGCGGTTCCTGATACGTGTGACCACCACTAGGCAACACCGTGTGAATGTGTGTGGTGACAAGCAATCTCCCTAATAACAAAAGTAACACCACAGAAAGAACCTATACAATCTAATGTAATAAATGCAGTCCACACCAGCTCAGTCATAAATTCCTAGTTTATGTTGCCTATAATGTTGAGTTGTTTTTTTTTACGCTGTCATGGAGGTGTAAATTCAATTTTATGTTTTAGCATTAGGGTCATAGTTGGTGGTGGTGGCGGAGGTGGTGTGGCACTGAGCATTATATTCAGAGGTGTTTCTCACAGTCACCCCTCATGTGTGTAAATAAACAAATTATTGAATTAACACATTTACAAAAATTCATGAAAGTAGAATTCATGGCACGGCTGTTGTATTGCGTTACATTACATTACATTACATTGTAAAGTTTCACCTAATAGTATATACAACACAATGAAGACCAGTAGCTGAAAGGAAGGATGTGTAAGTAGCTCAAATTAATTGTAAGTCTAATGTAGACTATTTACATATTGGTTTAAATGTGGAAGAGAGCTTGTCTGGGTTATTGTTGGTGGGTATGGTATTTGCACTCCACTACTCTTTAAATATACAATTTTGGCATGTTTCTGCGAAGCCTTAATACATAGTTGCCAGTTTATTAGGTACACCGAGTTTTATTTTATAATCCTACCGTCATGAATGTTTGTTGATTCAACTATGATTATTTTGGAGTATACAGAAAGTTACCTTGTGGCTTTTTGGATCCTTTGTAGATAATCGGTTTGTTAAGTCAGTCTCCCATTGTTTCACATGTGAAAAATACAGTATATGAAATAATTATTTGCAGTTATACTTTCTTTTAATGTAATATTCTCATTTAGGCTATGCTGCTGATTTTTACACCAGTCACTGATGCACCGTCTAACATGTTGTGTGTTAACCAAGTTAACCAAGGAACAACCTTGCAGCAATCAAGCTAGCCATGTTTTGTAGTTCAGCTAGTTACTGTTAATTGTAATCAGGAAGTGTACCAATACGGTGTTGGTAGCTTTAACTGTAAATTTAAAAACCAAAGATTTGTATGCCATTAAACTTGAAGAACTTTGAGGTAAATGTTGACATTGGTTATGGTAGCTAGTGCAAGTGTTGGTCAGGTTAGCTAACTGCACACTGTGATGCAAGAATCTAACTAGCTACATAGACTGTATATAAAAACTAGCTATTATCTTACTATAAACATGAACTAAATCTTGCTACATTAAATACAACTATTGATTAGATTCAGCTGATGGGTTAAACTTTTTTAACATTTTGGGAAATAGATTGCTTTCTTGCAGAGTTAGATGAGAAGATCGAGATCAATGCTATTCATTATCTGCCTTTCAATAAGAAGTTACAATCAGGAGACAGTAAGCTAAGCTTAGGACAAAGACTGAAGGCAGAGTGAAACAGCTGCTTCATATTTAACGAACGAACAAGAGAGTGGTATTACTTTTCTCATCTAATTCTCAGCAAAAAAGCATTTCGAACTATTCCTTTAATGGCCCATCTTTCCCCACTTTAGTTTCTTTTTCTGAGGAAGAGGAGGGCTTAAATCAACTGTGTTGTGCTAAATATAAAGCTAACTAAAGTTAAGTGTAAAGCGTGGTCTAAATACATAAACACATAGCACATACTCAGCCTCTTAATAGGCTTATCACAGTATTTGCAGCGAAAACCAAAGCAGCCTTCCATCATGAAGAGCTGCTCTGCCCATAAATCAAGCTGGAGATTACACACTTTATAGTTATTGTCTATTAGTATATTTACTAATAGACAATAACTATAAAGTGTTACTATATTTTAGACAGCAAATAAGTCTTTAATATCTGTAGTGCAAGAAACATACAAGCGTTTGTTAGTTTAACCAGTGTATTTTAAACTTATGCAGGTTGTACACTAAACACCCACGTCAGACTGTTACCATCCAGTCTCTGTCAGTGTCCTATATATATGTGTTATTCTCATCCTTTTCTGGGAATTTGTCTAAATTCACATACTTCAGTGTGTTTCCATGACGTGTGTTTTGTCTTTCGCTCGCTCCATCACAGTGTGGCTCATTGAAACTGCATTGTCTTTCCAGGTGGCGAGCGTAACTGTGGAGTGCATGAGCTGATCTGCATCAGAAAAGGTAGGGCAGATCAGAGCTCTAAGAGGTTGACCTTGGACCCCACACTGCATCCCCCCCTCCCCCCCAAGTCCACCTCCTTCATCACCATTTATCACTGTGAAACTGTCATTGTTAACACTTTAAAGCTCATCCTTGTTCCACTGTTGAGGTGCTGCTGTCTTCACAGTTGTAGTTTGTTTTAGCCTTGTGTGTTTATTGTTTGTTTGTCAACTGAAAATGTTTAAATTAACTTCACCTAAATTTAATTTCAAATGTCACATTCTCAGACCAATTAAAAGAAAGGAGCTTATAGGCATGGAACATTGCTTTTTTCCGTGTACTGATATTTGTTAGTTTGTCTATGCTGTACAGCTAGCAAATTACAGTATAAAATTTTGTACATATGAAATATATACATACAAGGTAAGAAGTACAGGTAATAAGTAGGTAATAAATGTGTGTTAAGGAGGGACATAGAAATAAGTTACATGGAAAGTATTTCTTAATCACCCAGTACCTATGGAATTACATGGTACAGTCATGGAACAACCTGGTTTTGCCTATATGTCCTTCAACAATAGTCTTTTACAAAACATAAAACACATGCAATTTTCCAAAGTACTTTTTCTGAAATAATGATTCATATTAAATGATACCATTACTAACCTTTTTTACCAATTTTTCCTGTACTGTCACCTAGTAACAATCACTGTATACCATAATAGTTAAGAAGGTACAGACACTGTAATTTATTATGTCTTCTCTTCTTGCAATGTTTATTGATACCGTGTATATAATTACACTGTAATTATGAGGCTGCAATCTGAAGTGTGACTGTTTTGGTAACAGATTTATATTAATTAATTTTGTAAAGAAGGCCAAAAAGGATAAACCACACTCCAATATATGGTAGGGCTGGACAATAAAACAATAACAATAATTATCGCAATATAATTTTTTTCAATAACAATATAACTAGTGTTTAATAAATATTCAATAAATGTTTGATTTTATTCACTTGAATCATACACTAACTAGGACATTTTTTATTAAGATTTTTATTTTGTTGAGGAAAAAGGAATGATAAAAGCTTTTACTTAATTTACTCATGCATATTTGTTGACAAAGATTTTATCATAATTGTTTTGAATGTTCTACCTCAGATTTGTGAAGTGATCCACTGTTTGGCCTCAAGCGTTGACCATAAAGAAGATTTAACCATCAGGTCTCTTCAACCTTCACTGAGGAACAAAAATCTGCCTTTAAATTTGAAACAAATGTTTGATATTTATCGTGATAATTATCGATATCGAAAGAAATTTAACTTTTTATCGTGATAACATTTTTGCCCATATCGTCCAGCCTTAATATATGGGTTATTCTGAAAAGATTTTTTTTTTCAACAACTACTACTTCTCACTGAAGAGAGTAGACATGATTTTTAGTTAGTGTGACTGCTTATATTCAAGGTCACAATGGTGCAGCAGTCTTAAAAGTTCTAACCAGCTTTTAACAAATGAGGCTATTTAGAATAATCATAATGTTGCATGTTCAGTCAGAGCACTCAGTGCCTCTCATTGCCATTGAAGTATTCATAAGATGGAAATAGATGACTCTTTTGGAAACCAAATAAAAAGCACCCGTAGATTCAGAGGTTGCTTCATCACAGTGTACGAACCCGCTAAATTGCCTGGTTGTGTAAGTGTGTGTGCATGTGTTTCATAATTTGGGTAATCTCATTTGTTTTTGTGATTGTTAAAGATTAATTTTAGAGGTGTGTGTGTGCGTGTGTGTTTGCGTGGACAGGTCAGGTTTGTGGCTACACAGTGTAGGTATTGTGCTTCGGAGCGTTGTCTGAGCATGTGTAGGCGTGTGTAGGGTGGGAGTGCTGGTGAGAGTGCTTATGCCTGTGGAGTGTGTGGGTGTCCTTGTGGTTTTGAGATGGTTTCATGCTTTTTGACATTCAACATGGAAACTGTTTCTATGTGGACAGAACGCAACAAAGACAACAAAGATGGGCATCAATGAGCAGGCAAAAATACCAAGAGTGTCAACGGTGACAATAAAGTACTCCAACCTGCAGACGGGACTAAAGGAAATTTATATTAGTTTTCTACTTCCGTACAGTAGCTTTTCCTTGTTAAATATTCACGTGCAAATACCTTCATTAACTCTGCTGAAAACACCTAAACATTACTAACACAGCGTCATCAACCATCCCATATATTTATTAAGCCACGTACCTGATTTAATTCGCCATGGCAACAGGGTCAGCTGCGCAGCCCAGATGTCCTTTCCCCAGCAAAGTCCTCTTGCTCCAGCTGGGAGATCTATAAGTGCTCTCAGGCATTGTGGGCGATGTAGTTCTTTCAGTTTGTCCTGTGTCCTACCATAAAATCCCTGTCTCACTCTCACTGTCATTGCTGAGACCGTTCAAACAAATCATCTTTTGGCAATCATCAATCAAGCTGTCAGAGGGGCTTTTTGTTTAAGCAACATGCGTAGGTGTGTCTTTGATCATCTGGATAATGATGTTAACATTATAAACATGCTCTTTGTTGGTTCAAGATGTACAGTATATGTAGCCAGTGTAGTTTTCTTCTAGACCTGACCTTGACTGTCAGATCCAGTCAAGGTCACACAAGCCAGAGATGAGGAATGAATGCTTCTAATAGAAGCTGGATAGGACTTCTGTTTGCACTGCGCACCATGACTTTCTATGACTTCCATTCCTTCTATTTGTTAAATACAAATAAGGGTCATTGTGTCCTTAGACCATGGTAGGTGATTGGTATTGTAATTGCCCTCCAAATTCAGGCATGATGCTTCTTCCTGTCATTCAGCTATGTTAGCATAAGTTAAGAAAACATGGTGTTTCCAATCCAATCCAGCCTAGTTGTTAATCACTAATATCTAGTTTCTGCCTTCCATCTGAGCGTCTAATTGCAATCAGTTGTTGCACCAGATGAAAATCTATCAAACCTGACTGCACTCAACGACTGCCCTCTGAACACAGTCTGTGTGAAACTCTGTTTAATGTTAATTAATGAAAAGAAAGCAAAGTGTCAACATTTATCTCCATTTATTGATTGTCTGAGCAAAGAGCAAACAAAGAGACCGTTGTTGTGGAAAAGGTGTGTGGTACATTTTATAACCATTACATGGTTGCTTCCCCACATTATCGTTCTCTGAGCTTCTTGTGTAACAAAGTCTGCTATTGTTTAATCTTCCTGTGAGTCATCGTTCAGTCCCCCACACATTATCTAAGGGCTGTTCTCAGTATGTTAATGGCATACAGTAGATTTGGTCGTATTAGCTAAAACTGCATTTTTCTCGGTTCTACTTTGCTCACAAATATACTATAAATTGTCCTGTGATATTTCTTTCTTATTGTTCAATATAGTCAATTATATAATCAAGTATTTTTACTTAGGGTCATTTCCAGTTAGTTCCACTTAGTGGCTGCAGGTCTGAATAACAAATACGAAGGATCTTGCCCCACAGTATGAGGTAAGGTGAGAATCTAAAGGCTGAAAAGAGCAGTGAAATGATAAAGAGCAGTGAGCTTCTGTTTCATAAAATCAAACGGGAAAATGAGAAATAGTTAGACATCACCTACACTGTGTTTCTACACTTTTATTAATCAAAAGTAAAGAGAGAAACTGTCTGTGGATTTCTGTGATTGAATATTGTTTTCCCTGTTTGAACCAGTCGGGGGAATTAAACCGAGCAGGATCCCGATCCATCTGGGCTGTGAATAATTCAGTCAACAGTGAAAAGCTGGTACAGTGTGAGCAGACAGGCATTCCCACGGGAGAACGCCTGCTGCTCCCACCTCACCACGTGACCAAACACTGTGGGCTACCCACAATAAGACCGGCTCATTACAGCCCAGGTATATTTAACGGAGAGAACCAACATCTGCTCAAAACATGTTGGGTTTATTTTGTTTGTTTTTGTAGTTTTTTTTAACCTGAAACACCTCTCAAAAAGTACAGGAAGTTGGAAATAACAGCACAGCAGGTTGTGTAGAATTCTTATCTAGTTCTTCATGGGTGAGCGAACGAGTCTGGCTGTAAATATGTAAGTTGTAAGTATGTTAGTTGGATCTAATTAAGCATGAATACATGCGTGTGTGTGTGTTACTACACTACTAATACACTTAGCAAAGTTTCCTGTTATGTCTCATTTACTTCATCCAGTCTTTCCAGAAACATAATAAAGACTTGGTTACAGACCAGAGTCCAGCTAATTGCTACAGGCATTATATTGGCATTTTAAATAACAGAAAGCATCATCATCATCATTGATGGGAAAAACAAGATGTCATCTGAGTACACTTTCTTGCCAAATGAGCTCATTATCTTCCATCAGTACCAAAGCAGTCATTTGGTTTAATTGAACAAAATGGACTACACATATAGTGATTAACGTGTTGAAAGCTTAATTCTTCACTGCAACTGAGCTCAACAGCAAATTGAGGAGCGAACAATGTAGTCTTTCTAATTGCACTAACAAATCTGTTGTACCTTTCCCCTTTGCTCTCTCTTTTATCACTTCTTACTTCTTCTTACTTTCATGAACCCTCAGTGAATGTATTGGACATGTTGCTAATGTAGAGGCTCAAGTACTTTATGTAAGCATATTCTTCTTCTTATTTAACACTTGATTTCCAGCTTACCACCTAACTGTGAAGTACTAACAGTAAGGTGGTCTGTAACTGTAAGTCCATACATGATACTACATCATCAGGTGTACTACACAGAGGGATAAAGTAGTTGTATAATGTCTTTCGTGGTTCTGAATTAAATGATGGCCATTGGTTGCATTATGGGAGTTGTTGGATCTAGTGTTTTAGGAGCTTGGCCCAGACTGGCGTCTAAAAATCAGGATAAAAAATCTCTCTCTTATGAGTTGCCCAACTTTATGGAAGTGTAATATTAATACAATGGAGTAAGTCTGTATTTTAACTATTATTATTATTGCTATTGATTATTTTCAAACACATTTTAAGTCAGCAGAACTTGTTGTTATTGTACAGCCTTTTCAGTGGTGCATTTTCCCTCTCCACTGCCTCCCACAATCCAAATCCCTGTCACCATCGTCTTATTGGTGTTGGAGAGAATACAGAGAGTGTTGCACACGTTTGCTTTGTCTGTCACAAACTTTGTGGGAAAAGGTTTATAAGCAGTGTTCCTTTTAACAATCCTGGGTGCGGCCTGCATGCTACACTGTGAATACAAACCTCCTCTGCAACATTGAGAAACAAGACATTTCATCAAATAATGCACCGCATTATTTGCCTCTGTTCTGATCCCTATTGTCGTTAGTGACCACATTTCGTGCACATCACCACGCGTGATGTGACAATTTTATTATCATTTGCAAAAACAAAATCATCCTGAATAAGTATTTGCAATGAGTCTCTATAATGGCTTTAACATGGGGCTGTTTACTGCTATTGCACAGAATAGTTACTGCCTCATAGCCTTTAGTAGCATCTGAATAGCATGGGAGCGGTTCCCTCCCCAAATTATGGAGGATGCCTAATCTATTAGTTGGAAAACGTGTCCCTACTTGTTGCACAAGAAGTTCCACTAATAGCATTAAACAAGATTATGTCTGTGTGTTGATGTCACAAGTTTGAACAAATAGTGGAGAACAGGAAAGCATTATGTTCTGACAGCTAATAGTCTCCCCCTGTGGCCACACTGGATAATGACAAAACATCAAAGGTGTTGGAAGAGATGGAAGCCGGCTTTCACCAGTCAAAAGCTCCCTCAGATTGTCTTCTGGGTTTTCAAATCCTTTCTGCATGTCTAATGATGTTTTTTCCTCATACCACACTGTATCTATTCATGTGTGGCACTCGCCGTTGTGTTTAATGAGATCTGACTTGCCCGTGTGTCTGGAGTCTGGAGTGACGTTGCACCAGAAGATGTTGCTATGGCAACCAACCGGTTGTGTTGCTCTCATCAACTTGTTTTCTGTCTATCCTGGCCCTATTCAGTCTACCTGCCTCTGTCTCTCTCATATGTCTTGAACTGATGAAGTTTTTATTTAACCTCAGGGAAACCAAACCAGTGCACTACTCTCAGAACAAAGGTTCATTAAACTGTAAACGTGCATCATGCTGCCTTTAAACATAAACCAACCACATATATTTTAGTATTAACAAAAACTAATTCACATAACATAGGACTGATGGCCTTTTACCTCAATATATGCATTTTCAGCACCAGTATTCATGCTATAAATTTCATATTAGCTTATTTACTTACTTTACTCCTACAAATAAAAAGAAATAATAGTGCAACAGTTTCAGAAAAACACCTACTGGCTTTTTTGCCGAGAGTTAGAAGAGAAGAGTAATACCACTCGCATGTCTGTATGCTGAAGTATAAAACTTCACCAGCCAGCAGATGGTTAGCATAGCTTAGCATAAAGACTGTAAACAGCTAGCCTGGTTCTGTCCAAAGTTAACTATATCCTTCTACTAACACTGCTAAAGCTCACTAATAACCACATTATATCTTGTTGGTTTACTTTGCTGTTGCTTGATATTTAACAGGCAGACTTGAAAGTGGTATCTCTAAGTGAATAAGTTATTGTTCCCTAAATGTCAAACTCTTGATTTAACAGGAACAGAGAACAAGTAGAAACATCTTTTTTGTCACTTAAAGCATTTGCGTTTATTAGCAGTATTCATTTTGAGAAATACTGTCACTATAAATACCATTAGCATTACATAGAGGCTATAATGATCTTGGACATGGTCTGATTTGTTTACCAAAATTATACAAACGTTTCTTGACTATAGTGTGCCGATTTTTAAAATGCCAAACAAACGCAATTTTAACTTAAGTTTCTGTGTCTCAGTCTCTCCAGAGGTGCTGGGGTTTCTGACAGCCATCGGACTCTTCATCATCCTCATGACCCTCCTGTTCTGGTACCTCAGCAACAAGTTGGCACTAGAGAACCCAGGGAGCCTTCAGTGCCTTGATGACTTCAGGAAAAAATCAGAGCTGCAAGGTGGGCCCGCATCATTTACACATCTGTACTTTTCTGCAGTTTCTGTGCTCACAGTTTCACGCCACATTTCATCAAATGGGATTTTGATGCTTCTGGGAAAGGTTGGCTGGTATCACCGGCTACAGGACCCAGTTGTGAACTATGTGCCTACGGTAGTTGCCACTCCTACACTGTTTTTGGTGTGTTTAAACATCTCTGGTTTTAGCCACAAGTAATTTCCATAGAAAACAGCCAGAATTCTGGCATATAACATTTAGAGATTGTGCCTGTTTGGAACTTAATATAAATATAAAGGGTGCTCACCGTCATGTCTTTTTGATGGTCTCCATTCATCTGACAACTGAGAACATGACTGCTGTTGCATGCCACACTTAACCAAAAATAGATGCACTTAAATGCAACATAAACCTGTGTTTTTGTAACATACTAAAACTAGAGAACCCCTCAGTAATCATTACTACATTATTACAAGTGTACTGTGTGCTCATGGGTCGGATCACACTCATCTTCAAATTCGGCCTTCCTTTTGATCTCAAGTTTTGTTGTCATTTGGTGATTTTGTTGACATATAAAGTTTACATTTTGCCATGATGACACCAAGAGAGAAGGGGAAAACAATCCCAGCCAAGGTGTCGCGGCTGGTAAAGTTTCACAAGATTCTCCCCTCATTGTTCAGATATTGAACCCCAGGCTCCTCCAGGACCCAAGATAAGCCACTCTGTAAAAATATGGACCCATCCCACTGACTACAGCATGAGGTCTGACCGCTGCATGGGGACATTTTCCATGGGGACTGGCCTTTCTCAACCCATGAGGGGATTACTGTTGCTGACAGATGTAGGTCTGTTTACATGTCGTCCATTCACAGGACTTCAGAAGTTTAAAAGGTTGGTGGCCCCAGGGAGCCAGCACAGGGAGTTGACTCTACCCCGTGGAGCCACCTGGTAAACAGTTAAAAACAAAGGTTGGCCGTATAAAGCGTATAAAAAGGCGATTGTTTTTGGTGTCTGGGACTTTTCCTATTTGTCTTCTTGCACAATGATTGTTTTAACGGAAACATGGGACAATTATGCTTATTTTTCAAAAATTGTGTTAAATTGTAATGTTAGCTACTGAAAGAAGATTTTCTTCTGTCCTTTCTGTACTCAGACTGGTATTTTTTAGAATGGCATTGGTTTTGAGAGATTTTATTCTTTATGCTTTATGGTCTGAAACTTTGGAGAGATTTTTCAGTCTGCATTCGAAATGTTACAGCGCAGCTCTGTCTGGAGTCATTTTAAAGCTCTGCTGCCTCTTGCTGGAATACATGTGAAGCTACAACTGGTGTTTCAGTGGTTGGTCGGTGAAAACGCAAGTATGTTGTAGTGACTGTTTGTAGTGAATTGACAAATACAACATTTTCAAAAATACATTTAACTGTAGGGACCCAGTTCACATACTGCATATATTATTATTATTGTATAGATATCATTAATACGTGCCAATAATATTCTTGACATTTTTCAGGAAGATAATGATTGTGCATCACCAATCAGATTGCTTTGTTGCTTTCCTTTTTGTATTTTTAATTTCCCCCTTGTGTATTTATGTGTGAATGGGCCAACCATAAGAAATACTTCTCAGCAGCAGTCCAAATCAATGCCACCACCCATTTGTTACTATAGCATCAAAATGACCACTGAAGAAACTATTTAAGTTTCACAAAGACATCAGTTTTCTATTGGACTGCATTACATCCAACTTCCAGAATTCATTAACAGTATATTACTTCTATTCCTATAAATATATTGTTGCATAACAGTGCACTTTGTTGCATAATATGTCTTACTTCTGATTATGGACAGAGCTGTATGGCAACATTAGTGATGCAAACAACTGTAATGTGTTGGAATGATGTTGTGGCCATAATCACATCTGTTGTTACAAGTCATCCAAAGCAGCATTCACATGTTCTTTATCCATCTGCTGGTTTCCATATGCTTTAAGCCTCTCAGGCATCTTTTATTGGTGCACAAAACAATCATCAATGGACTAGCACTGAGTACTTTTCAGACAGGCTTTTAATGTATACTCCCTTTAGGGAGGATATGTCGCTCTAGTGAGGACAAAGAACTATGGGGAGGTGGCATTTGGTGTCTATGGTCCTTGCCTCTGGAACAGCCTGTCAGAGGAGCTGAGGGCATCACAATCTGTTAACACCTGTAAAAGGAATCTACCTATGTACCTTTTTAGCTTAACATTACCTTAATCAATTCTATTTTAATTTACCCTCTTCTACCATGTTTCTTATTTACTAGATCATTAGTTCCTTATTATTTCCACTATTATTGTATTGTTAAACACCTTGTATTGTGCACAGAAGGTGCTGTATAAACACAGTCCGATTTGATTTAATTTGATAGTTGAGAATGGATGACATCGTGTGTGACGACACCTACAACCATAAAACAAAATGAATCATGGCGTCTTGTTAATTCTTTCAATGAATTCAAGACATACAAAACACGGGAAGTGTCATCTAGATCATTTGATGCAGGAGAAATGAAATAAAATACAGAAAATAGCATCGCAGGGTGAGTGTGCAGATCCTTTGTTTTGATTTTATCTTTCTCTTTTAAGCTTTGACTGAATGATCTGCAGACCTCCAAATGATGAACAGCCATCACAACCAAACACTGGTGCAGTGACATACATGCATACATTTATTGTGCAGAACAAGAAATAGTTTAGTAGTAAACAAATAAACAATAAGTAAATATAATTGTTTTTTCAATCAAATTTGTATGTCATGACAACCACAAGAGACAATTTAAAGCAATAAAGTTTTCAAAAAAGTGAAGAAATGCATTAAAACATTTACAAACACAACAAAGGAACAATAACAAGGAAAATCAGATAAAATCCAGTAGAATATATAATTTGATAAATAAAATAAATAAAAATAGTCCTCAAAATGATCATTACACATGGATTACTACATTTTGTGTAATCCCTGGCATTTAAAATATAGTTTGATGTAATTAATGATTACCTAAAGTTTACATTTAGATATCTGATGCACTCACTTACACCAGAGAGACTGCAAATTTGATCATTTTGACCCCCTAAAAATGTCAATTCAAAAGAGAGATGTTTGTCAGTCCTCTTCTTTTCAAGCACTGCTGTGTTTTGCAGTATTCCGACACTAGATTTGTACCTGAAATCATTTTCACATTTTTTTTTATACAAAGCACTTTTAGCAGACCTAACCATGTAATACAGCCTCGGGGCCAGTAGAGGCTGCCAGTCTACCTGACCTTTTGCATCTCAGTCTGTCCCACAGTAACCAACCCGTCTTTCTTTACACCAAACAGACAAGGCCTACTCTGATGCCGACCTGCAGGGCTCATCGTCGGACAGCGAGGATGAACTGATGGGTCAGTATCAGGAAGCGGTCAGCCGCTCCCAAGGCCTCCGCGGAGGAGCCAAGGCAGCCGCTAATGTCAAACATGCGGGAGGATTCAGCTGGGAGAGCCGGCAGAAGTACAGCCCGCTGACTGCTGATTACGACGGCTACAGCAGCGAAGCCTCGGCTGATGACGGTAGGTTCTGTATCTCTTACTGAATTAGAAAAACTGTACTCTTCCCTGCTATTCATATGCAGAGACATAGAAAATCATTTATTTTTCCAAGAACTTCTACTAAGGACGCCTCAACAGTATAATGAGAAGCTGCACTTGTTTAATAGATTAATACGGATATTCCCCCCCGTATCACTGCAGTATCAGAGTCAAATGCACAGACTCCAAACTAACTCACACAAATACACTACACACACACACACACACACACACACACACACACACTGTCAGTTAATCCAAAGAGGTGATCAAAGCGAAGCTCCTGTTCAGCACACTCTCCGTGGGAGGGTTATGAAACAGTCAACTGTCTGCATAATCTGCACAGCCGCAGCCTCGCACTTTCCTTTTTTCCCTTTTTTGACGCATCTCTGTTTCCCATCTGCCAGACTCACCATCACAAGGCGTTTACCGTGGTGGATGGAAGGCAGGTTTGTCTTTTTTTTATATTTCAGCATAGACCAAGTCACAGGAGAACACTTGCACTGACCTATTTGGATCAGTTATTCATCTGTCACAATACTTTGCTACAAGTGTGTGCTGTTGATTTATTTGACATTAGGAAAATTACCATACACACTTCATCTGCACCCTGAACATGAATCAATCATTCAGGGTGTGTAACATTTTTGACATCATATGATATACTGCAGGTATTGGTTAAATTGGATTCATGTGTTCAGGTAGGATGGTGCTAAAATGAATGAGGTGCTGAGAAATATTTTGGGAAATATCATTATTTACTTGATTGCCGAGAATTAGACAACCATCACGTCTGCAGCTAAATGTGCAGCAACAGCCAGCTACAGCTTAGCTTTGCATAACAACTCGTCTGGGTCTGTCCAAGGGTAGTAAAATACCAGCACCTCTAAAGTTCACTAATGTAACATGTAATATATTATGTGTTTAATTCATACAAAAAACATTAGTGAAAACAACAAGTAGAGTTTTCACTGGGAGTTATGTGCCGGACTATTTTAAAGTCTGGTTATCACTGCAACTTGACATTTTTATCCATCAGGTTTTGCATGGATTAATCAAATGAGACAAAATGTGTTAATTAGTGAGCATTAGATACCCCGGTAGGCAGATTTGTTTCCACCTGTTTCCAGTCTTTATGCTAAGCTAAGCTAACTGCAGCTTTATATTTATGGGACAGACGCGAGACCGGTATCCATCTTATAGTAAAACTTTCATTAAGAGCACGAATGGCCTTATGTCCCAAGACGTGGATCTATGTCTCTGAAGGAAGGGATAAGCAAATGCAAAATTGCATTTGATCTCTTATGAGTAAATGTTAAAATGACGGGCCCTAAACTAGACCAAAAAGAAATAAGGAATATTCAGTAAATAAATGTAATCTCAGATCTTGTGATTCGTAACCACTGCCTACAAGAGCCACTGATAGACTATCTATCTATAAGAGACACCTGATCCTTTTTAAAACAGTAAAGGTGATGATATCCTGCAGAACTGTATCAGACTCTAACTTTGTAGTTTTGTGTGGACATAAAAATGCAAATTTGAGGTCGTGTTTTACATCCTCAGACAGAAACCCTCCGTGTTTGTGTCTGACAGTGCTTTTCAAAGACAAAAACAATCTAATCGTTGCCAGGGTCGTCAGTTGTTGAATCATGTCTGAACCAGCTTTGTGTTATATAAGACAGTGGGTTCTGAGGCTGAGTGTCTGGCACAATCTATTTAAAGCAATGTTTGAATGTGTAGCTGAGGGATAAATTGTGCATGACATGCTTCTGACTCCATTAGTGAAGAAGCAACGCACTGTACAAGGTTGTCGTTACACAAGTGCTGCAGAAGCTGTACGTCTCGTCATAACCACTAGATGGTCCCTGTCATCCTCAGTTTGGGTTCAAATTAATGGTACTCAAGGGCTATTCAGTGATATCACATTTAAGCGTTTTCAGGTCATTTTAGTTGCATACAGACATTCCTGATGATGATTTCACTTTTGCAAATTTTCTGTTGAAGGAGATCATCTGATTGAAATTGGAACAGCCTGATTTCATTTTGAGACATGTGACCTTTAACACATCACTGATTAGTTGTTGTCCGCTTACAGGGCACATTTTTTAAAGCAGAATGAAACATGTGGCAGTTTTACCACAGTAAATCATCCTCTGATTATTTTTAAACAACAATGTAGTTAAATCAGAGAATAGAACAGTAGTTCTCAACCTTTTTGGTTTGTAACCCCTTAAAACAAAACATTGTTTACTCATGACTAGAGAATCAACTAAGAATTACTTTCATTATCAATTAATCCCCAGATTATTTTCTCAATTATTTGATTAATTGCTTTTTTTCCCTCTAAATGTCTAAAAATAGTGAAAATGCCTATTATGAAGTATTGAAATTGCCAAAAGAAGTGAATGCGTCGCCTTAACATTTATGCTGAATGCATGAATGAAGCTGAATGTTTAGCTTGAAAATATCAATGAAATCACAAACAAATTATCAAAATGAATTAATTTTGATTATAAGACTAATCATTTCAGCTGTATTGGTTACAGATGTCTACCACTGATCTGTTTCCTTGTTTTATTAGAGAATTTGTTAGTCCTAAAGAAATAAAAATAGTAATTAATTTATAAAAACAAATGCAAAGACTAGAGGGATGTATAAAAAGAAGTCTGGTTAATATGCATATTTGCTCCTATTCACTTTAAAATTAAAGTTAATGGTGTGTTTGCTACGGTGTTAATTCTATCAAAGAGTCCAACGAAGGTTAAAATGAAGGGCAACTGGACTTGGTTGAAGCTACTGGAAGACGTTTCGTCCCTTATCCAAAGGGACTTCTTCAGTTCTGACTGACTGGCAGGGAAACTCAGCTATTAACCTCAGTGGGGTCGTTATCTCGGGTCATCGATACCGCTGGTTCGTTAGTGTTCCTTGTTGCTGTGACGACAGTCGTTACAGTCGTTGAGACTACCTGTGGCCAAGACTGAACGACCATCGTTGGTATCTTCACCTGAGGCCAATAGCTTACGTTTGTTGAGTTTCCTGGGAAGTGATGAAAGGACAGCATTGTAAGTGGGGGATAAGTGGTGGCGTAGACCCCCTCCCCTGTTCAATGACGGCTTCTCAACCCTGGTGTAGATGCTTCCTTGACACCTCTTTCAAACCATCCATCTTCTCTGTCTAAAATGTGCACCTGGTGGTCCTCAAACGAGTGTCCTCTGTCCTTCAGATGTAAGTAGACAGCAGAGTCTTGACCTGAGGAGTTGGCCCTTCTGTGTTGAGCCATGCGTTTGTGTAGTGGTTGTTTAGTCTCCCCAATATACAGGTCTGTGCATTCCTCACTGCATTGGACCGCATACACTAGATTGCCACCAGGTGCACATTTTAGACAGAGAAGATGGATGGTTTGAAAGAGGTGTCAAGGAAGCCATCTACACCAGGGTTGAGAAGCCATCATTGAACAGGGGAGGGGGTCTACGCCACCACTTATCCCCCACTTACAATGCTGTCCTTTCATCACTTCCCAGGAAACTCAACAAACGTAACCTATTGGCCTCAGGTGAAGATACCAACGATGGTCGTTCAGTCTTGGCCTCAGGTGAAGATACCAACGATGGTCGTTCAGTCTTGGCCACAGGTAGTCTCAACGACTGTAACGACTGTCGTCACAGCAACAAGGAACACTAACGAACCAGCGGTATTGATGACCCGAGATAACGACCCCACTGAGGTTAATAGCTGAGTTTCCCTGCCAGTCAGTCAGAACTGAAGAAGTCCCTTTGGATGAGGGACGAAACGTCTTCCAGTAGCTTCAACCAAGTCCAGTTGCCCTTCATTTTAACCTTCGTTGGATAACTATGACCTGGATGACTGAGAATCTTCATAGACATCTATCAAAGAGCGAGAAAATGAGTAGACAGCAATACTTTGAATTGCATACATTGAATGTTTATCTAAGAAGCAGATCAAGCTGGATTCAAGACATTTTTTTTGGACAAAGTATATTACTGACTCGTTTTCTCTTGCAGTAAGATTATGTAGTGAGTGTTCTGAGAGAGAGAGAGAGTCATATGAGCCTGGCAGCAAAAATTTTAAATTGACTTGCTTTATTTATATGACAACATTTTAGTTAAGAAGGGTCTTGTGCTGGTTTTTGTGTGATTCAAATACTCTTAAAGGTTTAAAGGATTATATATATAGAAGTCAGGGTAGCAAGCAGATCATTTCTTTCTGTAAAACAAGAGTATGGAAAAATTACGTTTGCCGTTTATCAAAACTTTTTTGAATCATCCGATTATTGTGACCAGTCTACTTGTAATCCACACCACACCTGTAGCCAGGAGAGGAAGTGGAGCGAGAACTCCACCCGGGGCTGCACTTTGATTGAAAGTGCTAGAGGTTCATCATTGTCCTCCCTGTGGTAAGGCTTTGATGGCGCTGGTTTCTCACCACCAAGTCTTCATGGATCCCAGCAAGCTATCATGGATCAGCAATGATAAAGCGGTGACCTACCACCAGATCTGATACCAGGCCACTGTTTCCCTCCAAAACAGAAACATATTATTAGAAATTTAGACATAAGGCATTTCCATGATAACTGAGACGGAGTACACTTTCAAACAAGTTCTGGGGTGTGATTCCCACTGCTGCTTCTGTTTGTCTTCAAGTATGAAGAGTTTTATCCTCAGGACATATGTATTATACATGAGCAGGATTGTGCAGAGGCTGCAGAATCAGGCAGAGCGGGTGCCCCGGTGGCACCGCACAGCATCCCAAAATAGTATGTGAACAGTGAGAAAGAAAAAATCTGAGGTTTTTCTGGACCTTTCTTTCTTTCTCTTCTCTGAGGTTAACATGCTGTCATGAGCGCTGGGTGAGGACATTGTTACTAGTATTTGAATCCATACTCAGAATGGGCGGGACAACCCCGAAGTTAATTTAAGCCAGAAATTAACCGAAACCTAAAGGAATTCAAGAAAAATGTAGGCTGTGGATCGTTCCTTATGTAATGTTCCTTAGCTAACGCTAGCTAAATTACTACTGAATGTAACGTTATATAACACTACTGTTCTGCTTTTTAATGATTGTAATGTTGAGTAGAGACCCACCCAGATGTGTAACATAATATGTTGGTTCTTAAAGGGGCATTATGTAGTTTCCAGTGGCCACTAGCGGTGCGGTTTTAAGATCGCTACCAGGCGTGTGCTCGTACGCGTGCTCGCTTGAAGTCATGAGTGAGCGTAATCCGAAACACAACCACTTTCCAGCATGCTGGCTGTGGCTTTTCACTCACACATGTTCAGCCTCTGTTACTTCAACGTTCCCGTCTCAGAGGCAGATCAACTCCGGCGCGAGACACTGATGTTGTAACCCTACTGGTTTTCAAACTAACTGGTTGCCATACGCGTGCGCGTGTTGTGTGCAGCAGCTGCGGACTGACTCCATCCCCAGATTCGTCACACATTCACAAATATGTTCCTGGCGAGTTTCAAGTCGCATCTACTGCGGCGATCATGATTGTATAAGTGAGCACTACATTACAGCGACATACGAAAAAAGAAAACTGACTTATTTAAAAATCGCGTCAAGCTGGATTCGAACTCACCTGAGCAAAAGGTAACATCTACGTCTCGCCCAAGTTATCTGCGAGCTAACCCAACAATCACAGGTAAAAGGTTTGCAGTCACATATTGACATCATCAGGTGAAACTTTGGGCTGATCTAAAACAACTGGTTACCTTGAGCGATCTTACCTGTTTGTATTGGAGTCTGTGTTGTGCTGGGAGCAGGTCGTTTCTTAGTGTTAGCAGACTCCATGTCGTAAGTTGCAGTGTCGTCGCTGCTGAGTGCAAAGTCAGTAGACAAAGCCAGAGGCTCCGGAGCGCGCATGCAGGTGTCAGTCACTGGATTTCAGGAAAATCCGACCTGAAGCTTCAAATAGGAATACTTGCCTTCAGAGTTAATAGCCAAACCCGGCAAAAAAAAGGATTAATTTTAGTAGAAAAACTACATATAGTCCCTTTAATATTGTTGTCCTCTTTCTCAATAGTTAGGTAATACGGTGGTTTACTTTGAATACAACCTTCAAATGCACAACGCAAACCTTTCTGTCTTCTTCTTCCTGAGGTCACTTTTCCCCCCAAAATTATTCAATATTCCTCCAGGGAGTGCAGTGACAGTGGCAGCGCCGTGATAAATAGTTTGTCGGACTTAGCAACAGTAACAAAGGGGGCGTGGTTTAGCGAAGGGTCAGTTGAGCTTCAGAATTTACCCTTCGCTAAGCCACGCCCCCTTACATAAGTTTTGAGGACGCAGCCCATTACTGCTCACAAGGCCTAATTATTGACTACATTTCTTTCAAAAATGAGTTTCAACCAAACTGTACATTTTTGAGTAACAAGTTCAGCATAGTCTGATGTGGCAAACTGCTACTGGCTACTCAAGAAACATCCAGCCAACCAAAGGACACAATAACATCTCCTGAAACATTTACTAATACAAATTAAGGAGGAAGTCTTCACTACAGTGCAGTGCAGTAGTTTTATTAACAGCCAAATTCAGTTACACTGGTCGAGGTTCAACATATCGCTCACTCAAACCCACACATCCCATAGCTAGCGTGGATATTATCCTTACTTAGCATAAAAACCTGAAACAGGGGAAGAGCAAGCCTGGCTCTGTTCAAAGTTCAGAAATTAGCCTTCCTGCACCTGTAAAGCTCATTTTAATTATATCTCATTTGTTTTATTCGTACAACAACCAAAGTGTTAAAGGGTGTTTCAGCTGTGGCCCCCTGCTTAGAGTATTTTTTTTATCACACAAAAAGAAATGAAAACAACAACAATTTGTGGTTTTAGGTTGAGTTATATGAGGTAGGCAAATGCCAGCCAGTCTTGTCATCATAGTGAGGTTGCCAAGTGTGCCATGAAATAGTTAGTCTGTACTAAAACCTGTGCTCACCAACCCTATCTGGCAACCCACGCTATAGCCTAGAGTGCTGCACAGAGGTCACCCGTGTTGTTGGTATTATTTAATGAGATTGCTGGTAGGTGTACTTTTGGGCTTTGGTACCAGTCTTTATGCTAAGCTACTTACCACCTGACTCCAGCTTCAGATCGATATCGATCCTCCCGTCTTACTCTCGGAAAGAAGTCAAACACATTTTCCCGAGGTTGAACTTTTTCTTTAAGAAATTAAGTTAGCTGGTGAACAAGGGTCGCGATCATGTTCAAACAAGTGTTTTCCAGGGGTTTTTAGTTAAACACCGTGTAAATGCCATTTCAAAAGTGTGTATTCACAGTCATGTACAGGTCAATAAAAATATAATATTGAATCTATCTGTTTCTTAGTATTAGTGTAATTTATTACTCGTCGTTTGAATTGAATCTCAGTCATACTTTGCTGTGTTTAAATCTGGGAGATGATACTGCTCTTATAAACATTCATTTGACAGCATATTACATAAACCGAAAGAGGCGTTTTGCCCAAAGGGATTGGAGCCTTCACTGCTGCATTATAGATAGCTACTGATTGATAGTCATGATGTTGAATTTGCTTTGTGAAATGTTGATTTACTGTCTTGTAAAACTACAAGGTCAGATATGTTTCCTCCTTCTTATAGCTGTGTAATAGATAATAAAGTGCTGCTCCGCTCATTTGTCACCTAAGATATTTGTATCTGAGCTTCACAGTCGAGTTTCCCCACTTACAGAGGTACAAGAAGGCAAAACAAGGCGATTGCCAGTATAGAGGGGATGAAACTCTGTGAAGGAAGGGTGGGTTAGACGAGAGGAGGAATGGTAACCATCCCAATTAGCGGGCTGGAGAAAAGAGTAGTGCTTTTACACAGCAGCTTCCATCAAATCAACCGCCCCCGGCTCAGCAGGAAAAAAGCTGCTCAAAATGGATTTGCTCCTTTTATCAAGCCCTCCATGACACTTAGTTAAGACTTCTTTGCCTCCACCCTGCCACTGCAATGTGCGACTTTGAGGTGGTGTCTCACTGACATTATTAAGAGTGAAAGTTTCTCCCAAGAACTTGGGGGGAAGCTGGAATTACGTCATTATAGCGTTGGCTTCTTCCAAAGTTAGGAGACAGAAAAAGAAGATGATTTTTTCCCAAGTTATTTTCTCCTTCATCTTTTGTTTTCTTTCTTCCTTTTCTTCTTTTATTTTTTGCAAGAGACCGAGGTTTAAAGCACTCTTCGCCAGTGTCCCTATGGGAGTATTAGCATCGGCTGCTCAATTTTTGTGAATCCAAATTGGACAAGTGAGGCAGATTTGAGAATGCAGCTGACAACACTATTCAAGGTTCTTTATAAGTGTGGCAGAAACTCTTAGTATAGCCTCAGTCTTTGCTGTCCAGGCAACTGAATCATTTAGAAAGGTGAGACGCATGAAATCTGTGGCACATTAAGAAGCATTCAGTTCAGTCCTTTAATGGTGCATACCTGATGTTTTATTTCGACTGTGCATTCAAAAGATTTCTCTCACAGATTAGATTATCCTCATGAGGATGGGCAGAATAAGTTCCATTCGTAAGAGTGAAAATGAAATATATCATACATTACTTACAATAGTGTATGACTCAATGCTACAGAATTACATGAACCATTCTACCAGAAAATAAGAACATGAATATTATGTTAGCATTGAGGGGCAGCCACAGATTAAACTTTTTCTTTAATTTAGAGCCTTAGTGAATAAACGTGAATGAATTTACTGTGAATACATTCAGCCTTTGCTATGCTGTAATCTAGTGTAAATTCTGGAAATTCATTACAACATGGGTACATATTCTCTTTCCTGTTACTTGGCAGTGTTGATAACAATGGATTAACAACTTGTCTAAATAAAACCAGTACTTAGCAGATGTTGAATGTGGGGGAAGCTGCTTTTACCTACAGTGCTGCATACATCTTTACACATCTCACCAAAGCTAAAACTATATGTTTGTTGTTGGTTTTACATAAAATGTGTGATCTTAAGATCTTTTATGTGCTTTTCTCAGTTTTTCTTATGTTCATGTCTTATGTAAATCACTTTGAATTACCCTGTGTATATATATAAAAAAGATCTTGCCTTGCCTACAGTAATACCTGCGGTTCAGATGTCTACAGCTATGCCAGCAGCTCTGTGAGGCTGCACAGTGTGCTTTGAACTAAATGTTAATGCCAGTATGACAATTGAAAAAAAGAGAATGGGAAAGCTTCACACTCATGACTCATTTATTCATTTGTTTTCAGTGGTGGAAGAAGTATTCTGATCTTTTACTTAAGTAAAGTAGCAATACAGTGTAAAAAAACACCCCTTTATAAATCTTGCATTTAAAATCTTACTTAAATAAAAGTACTAACTTAAGTATTAGCATACAACATAATAATCTTAAAGTATTTAAAGTAAAATTATGCGTCATGCAGAATGGCCCAATGGATAATAAAATATTTATTTTATATTTATTATAATCAGTGATGCATTCATGTGTACATCACTTTAATTGCAGAGTACACAAAGTGTGACTGACTTTAGTGAATTCATATACTGCTGGGTAACTTAAAGGTTCAGTGTGTAATATTTAGTTGGATCTGTTGGCGGAAATGAAATATAAGATCCATAACTATGTTTTCAGTGGTGTATAAAGATCTTGCATCATGAATCGTTATGTTTTATTACCGTAGAACGGGCCATTTCTTACGTGTAGCTGGTTGCAATTTGCAACCTTCACCAGTAGATGGCACTAAAACTTACACACTGAACCTTTAACCTGTAACATTATATTATCATTTATTAGTAGATTTATCATTTTTGTATGTGTAATCTAAAAATGCAAGGTAAATATCTAAAGTGACTAAAGATGCCAAATAAATGTAGTGGACTAAAAAGTACCAAAATGTATGTAGAAAGTAGCATAAAATGGAAACACGTTAGAAATAGTATAGAACAAGTAACTCAAAATGGTACAGTACAGTACTTGAGTAAATGTACTTAGTTACATTCCACCACTCTTTATTTGAACAGAAAATGACCTTCTTAGGATGAATAAGAATCCTGATCCTGAGGAAGGCAGTTTGCTGAAATGTCAATATTTATGCATTAAAATAAAAACATCAATTTTATTTTTTGATAAATATTATTATGTCTGTTATTGTGATCCTTGATCTTTCTCCTGACTTCCTTCCAACCAGCCAACTGTATCCAGAGGATGAGACGAACACCGCCGCTGGATGAGCTTCAGCCACCTCCGTATCAGGATGAGAATGGCTCTCCACGGATGTCCTGTACACTGTCGGACCTGGGAGACGCCAAGTGTGATCTGTCCCATACCAGTGGCAGTCCCCACCTGTCCTTTGGCAAATGCCCTAGTGAGGGAAGCGACGGCCACGAGACTGAGAGTTACCTCAACAAGGGCTACGAGGAGGACGTACCCAGTGACAGTACAGCTATTCTCAGCCCAGAGGTAAATACCAGCAATACAAATCTAAAAATGTATATTACGGTTTTTATTGCACATTGAACATGTCTTCGGTTTCTTTAGGACATGTCAGCTCGTGGATCAGCAGCTCAGCTCCCCAAAGGTTATGAACCAGATCCACTTGCAAAATATGGCACTCTGGATGTGGTTTTTGACTATGACTCAGAGGACCAGCAGCTAGCGGTCACCATCATGGCAGTATCAGATCTTCCCTCTATAAAACGCACCGGCAACATCTCCTGGCAGGTCCACCTGGTGCTGCTGCCCACCAAGAAGCAGAGGGCAAAGACAGGAATCCAAAGAGGCCCATGCCCAATCTTCACGGAGACCTTCCGCTTTAGCCATGTGGATTCAGAGATGATCAGCAATTACGCCATTCGATTCCGTCTTTACAGCATGCGACGGATGAAGAAAGAGAAGGTGCTCGGGGAAAAGGTGTTCTACCTCACCAAGCTTAACCTTCAAGGCAAATTGTCTGTGCCAGTCATATTAGACCCATGCTGTGCTCTCCAGGTAAGTAGGATCAAAGAAGGTGCTGGCTTTCAAGTGCTCTCTCAACACCTCACTAATAGCTCTTCTATGATGATTGATTTTTCATGTGATTGGATTACATTTTCAGGGAGAATTTAAAGATCTTGTTTTACGAAGCAGCTACTTTGTGTTTGTCTTGTTGGTTTATTGTGTGAGTCAATCAGGAGAGACTTCATCTGAATGAAAAATGGAAATGTGAATAGTCACCATCGTGACATCATGGTATTTAAAGTGGTTGGTGAAGCCGTTAGGTGACTAGAATCTGTTCCCCCCAAGTGGACATAGTGATTGTGACGTCACCCATGGGTTTGTGGACTGCCGTTTTGAAGCCTCGAGTTTGGCTGTTAGAGCACCGCCATGTTGATTTTTTTCAACCAGCAGCACCGGGCACGACCATGTTTGGAAGAGACTGTGCAGCCAACAGCTCTGTGTGGAGCTAGCTAGCATGCTTAGCTAGGTGCATCTGTAATTCACGTTAACGTAATTTTAACCGGGATAATAATTTTGTCTAGCGAAAAACAGTCTTAAAACTAAATGTACTCACCAAAGAAAGTCAACAGCCAACTCCTAATACGCTTTTTCTACGGCGCTGGTTAAATTTACACAGTGCCGTGGGTACGAGTCATTCTAGCCTGATTGATAGGTCACCATGGTAACAACTTGTCAATCACAGATAATCCCGCCCTGAAGCAAACACTGCTTCAAAGCGTGGTTCAAAACGTCAATGTCACAGTGAAGCGAGGCTTCGGTGCGTTTCACCCCTGTTTCGACAGGTGGCACACCTGCCACTTCTACACTTGATACACAGTGTTTGGAACAAACCACACATCAGCCTCTAACTCATTTGACACACAATCTTTTGATTTATTGGAGCGACCTGCTGTAGGCCAAAACATACTTTTTGCCAGCAACAAATGTTCCATGTCACCAGATTTTTCCAAGGCTGGGGATGTCAATTATGAAAAAAAAAAAAAAACACTGAATACTTCTGAATAAAATTCTTGACATATAACAAATGTGAGACATTGTTCCATTTTTCATTTATCATTATATATATATATTCTTGAAACAACTTAAACTTTACTCAGTTACAGATTTTTAATCCATTACACCTCATCACTGCCAGCACTCATTATTAATTATTATTACACTAGGGCCTATATCTTTCCTGCTAATTATCATTACACATCTGTTAATAAGCTACTGTGTAATACTGTAGATATCCACATTTATTACTATATTCTTAGATTTGTATACTTTATTATATTCTCTACTCACTATAACTTCAACTTTATTTCTATTCTGTTTAGGCTATGCGAGTATCTGCAACAAAGAAATCACCCTCGTAGATCAATAAAGTATTTTCATTGTAAAAATGGATAGGGTAGTGAAACCCCTACCAAGATGTGTTGATATCAAAAGTGACCAGTCGTTGTCACCGTGGAGATGGGTGTCGAAGTGTTTCGAAGCCTCGACACAATTCCGGCACAATTGCTTCAAACGTTTCAGTGTTTCATAAAGCCTCGCTTTGCCCATCACTATCGAAAACCGTATTTTCCATACTATTGCCCTCGGCAGCTGGGGTTAGGGTATATTTGGTTATTTCATTGCCGTGATAACGTTATCACAGCAATGAAATATATAAATGTATACTATATATATATACACACACACACACACACACTATACACTCACCTAAAGGATTATTAGGAACACCTGTTCAATTTCTCATTATCTAATCAACCAATCACATGGCAGTTGCTTCAATGCATTTAGGGGTGTGGTCCTGGTCAAGACAATCTCCTGAACTCCAAACTGAATGTCAGAATGGGAAAGAAAGGTGATTTAAGCAATTTTGAGCGTGGCATGGTTGTTGGTGCCAGACGGGCCGGTCTGAGTATTTCACAATCTGCTCAGTTACTGGGATTTTCACGCACAACCATTTCTAGGGTTTACAAAGAATGGTGTGAAAAGGGAAAAACATCCAGTATGTGGCAGTCCTGTGAGCGAAAATGCCTTGTTGATGCTAGAGGTCAGAGGAGAATGGGCCGACCGATTCAAGCTGATAGAAGAGCAACTTTGACTGAAATAACCACTCGTTACAACAGAGGTATGCAGCAAAGCATTTGTGAAGCCACAACACGCACAACCTTGAGGCGGATGGGCTACAACAGCAGAAGACCCCACCGGGTAACACTCTCCACTACAAATAGGAAAAAGAGGCTACAATTTGCAAGAGCTCACCAAAATTGGACAGTTGAAGACTGGAAAAATGTTGCCTGGTCTGATGAGTCTCGATTTCTGTTGAGACATTCAGATGGTAGAGTCAGAATTTGGCGTGAACAGAATGAGAACATGGATCCATCATGCCTTGTTACCACTGTGCAGGCTGCTGGTGGTGGTGTAATGGTGTGGGGGATGTTTTCTTGGCACACTTTAGGCCCCTTAGTGCCAGTTGGGCATTGTTTAAATGCCACGACCTACCTGAGCATTGTTTCTGACCATGTCCATCCCTTTATGGCCACCATGTACCCATCCTCTGATGGCTACTACCAGCAGGATAATGCACCATGTCACAAAGCTCGAATCATTTCAAATTGGTTTCTTGAACATGACAATGAGTTCACTGTACTAAAATGGCCCCCACAGCCACCAGATCTCAACCCATTAGAGCATCTTTGGGATGTGGTGGAACGGGAGCTTCGTGCCCTGGATGTGCATCCCACAAATCTCCATCAACTGCAAGATGCTATCCATCAATATGGGCAAAATTTCTAAAGAATGCTTTCAGCACCTTGTTGAATCAATGCCACGTAGAATTAAGGCAGTTCTGAAGGCGAAAGGGGGTCAAACACAGTATTAGTATGGTGTTCCTAATAATCCTTTAGGTGAGTGTGTATATATATATTAGTATATAGTGTTGTATGAGTCAGCATTTCTAACCAACATGTGGAGCTAACATTAGCTAGCTAAAGTTGATAAAACTTCTCAGATGTAAAAATCAACATCTGCCTGCTAAAAAAGAGATGCCTGCTTTTGTTTTAAAAAAAGCTTAGAATTTCAAATTGTAAACAGCATATGTGCTGTGTGAGAATAGAAATCTTGACACGTGTGTGTATAGCAGTGGAAACTCTGGGGGCAGGGATTAGCGAACAGTTGATTGCCAGACATAGCTAAGTAGTGCCATGAGCATAATAATACATTTGTACACTGAGTTTTGCGTATGCAATTGAGAGTGGTAGAAACTAAATTAGTAATAGGAAAGAATAAACATAAACCTTCCTGATATTGCATCAGATTGAGGTACATTTCCTGTGATTTTTGTTGTCCATACCAGTGAGCAATTTTCTGAATGTCTGCTAACATTTTCAGGGTGGAGAATCCCAGGTCAGCCTCTCAGATATGACATGCAGTGAAAGCGCCTCATCATTCCAGTCAGTCAGTCAGACTTCCACGCCAGAGATCCTCGTGGGGCTGGTGTACAACGCCACAACAGGACGTCTCTCTGTGGAGATCATCAAAGGCATTCATTTCAAAAACCTGGCCGCCAACAAGCCACCCAGTAAGTAATCTAAAACGTTTCATTTCAGCCATTTGCCAAAAGAGCAGTGAACAGTGTAAACTATTTGTTTGACCTCTATCAGATGGGAAAAGGACAAGTCGAGCTTGTGTATAGGGATTTATGTTTAGGCAGCCTTAGACAATATGTAACATAATAACAACAGCACTCTGATCTGCTTCTGCAGCAAATGCACACAACCAATGATGCTGCTTTACTACAGCAAACAGAGCATGCCATACAGGCCACCAACTTGTTTGTTGCATTCGCCTTTTAAGTCACCTTTATAGTATATTGTCAGTATACTCATTCATTCACCTTAATTTTGTATATATTGTAAATGGAACTTGCACACTAATAAAAAACGAGGAGCTTGAATGATTCTTGGAAAAATATGTGATCAATCAGACGTGAAAGACACGTATTAGGTATATATTAAATAAATGCTATTTGCTTTCATTCGTCCACTTATTATTGAGGCAGACAGAAACTATGCACAGTTGAGAGACAGTCCAATCTATCTCATCTGCCCTACCTGTTTTTTAGTTCGATCCCTTATCTCCCTCATTTCCCGATCAGCCTCCTCAGTCAGTTTCCAGGGATCCGAGCAGCAAGTTCAAACAAAAACTGCCTCTTGTTGAACTTTGTGCAATGTCATTGGCCTTCTGACCCTGTTTCTCTTTCCTCGTATCTTCTGCACCTGAAATTCTGTCACCCTACTACCTTTTTGACATTTTGGTCCGTTGTTTTTCTTACTGCTGTCCAACCCTTGTTGTCAGATGGGCTGTTCTGTTGTCTAAAACACTTGATAGGGGGACAGGTTTATATTATCAGAGGTGAGTCTCTGTCCTTGCCGCAAAGTGAGGTGCTGTTGCTGTTGAATTCTGGACCATTTTATACATACTATCTTCATGGATGCAGTCAGTCAAACAAAACATTTTCCATCGGTCAACATTTGTTCTTTTAGGCTTACCTGGTTTGTATAATAAATATCTGTAAAAAATGTTTTCACAAAAACAGATTGTTTATTCTTCTTAAAGCAACAGTTTAAGATTTTGGAAAATAAGCATATTCACTTTTTGGCTGAGAGTTACAGCTGGATTCCACTTAGCACGGCTGCGATGTGGCTGCCAAAGCTGATCACGGCCATTCCAGACAATGCTTGTGATTCCACCAGATGAACCTTGGCACATTTCAGAAGTGTCCCACTCTGCTCTGCAGAGAATACGTGGCAAGTCTATTTTTGATGGAAATCACGTCAAGCAGCACAGAGCAGATGAACTGGGCAAGAAGTCAGACACAGAAATAGCATAGAGAATCTGGTCAATTTTCAAAATAAAACACCTTGTGCAGACTCCCGATCATATATCAACAATAAACACAATTAAAACAGACAAAAAAACAAATGATCTACGTTGCCTTAAATTAAGGACAAATTACCAAATAAACAAAATCTGAGCAAGTCAGTAGATACAGGAAGGCAAAACGATTAGCTTCTGAAAAGCCCTTTGTGGGGTGTGAAGCTGTGCAGAGGACGGAACACAACCGGGTCAGAGAATTGTACCCAGTAGTAGAAGTACGAACTACATGGGCAGGAAAAACGCTCTGCCCCTGAAGCATTTCTGAAGTGATTCTGGTGGAATATGAAACTTTGCAGAGGGTGGAACAAAACCACGTTGCAGCTGGAACATTCCCAGTGGAATCCAGCTGTTAGATATGAAGATCTGTACCACTTTTATGTTTGTATGGTAAATATGAAGCCACAGCCAGTAGCCCGGCTTGGTTATCTTAGCATAAAGACAGGGGGAAACACCTACCACGGGTGCTGTCTGTTACAAAATCACTGTTGGCTGTTATTGCGCCTAGCCAAGAAATAGTGCGGTGCATAACACTCGTGATGCTTGACATTTTTACGCTTCGGTTTTGTTTGTAAACAAATGAGAGATAACATTTTAATTAGTGAGCTTTGGATTGTCCACTAGGTAGCAGGTTAGCTGTTTCCTCCTGTTTCCAGTCTTTATGCTAAGCTAACAGTCTCCTGGCTGCAGCTTCATACTTAACAAACAGCAAAAAGCCAATACTCTTGTACCCCAAGAATAAAAACTGGTGCAAAATCAAAATTACTTGTAAAAAGGGGCCATAGAAACTAAAGCAGTTACTTCACATTTCCATTTCCATTGTTACTCCCACACACACACTTTTCAAATTCCAACACTTATCCATGAAGATAGTTGCTTGCTGTAATCCTTGTTCCCTTCATTTCTGAATGTGTACGTCTTATTATGCATGCAGCTCTCCAATACCTGTGTCTTGTGTTTATGTCCATGATGCCTGAAAGTCTTTCACGTTTTCACTCAGAAGTAACACTTTTCATGCTACAGTAACTCAAGGCGGTTTGCTTAGTGGCTGATGGCCAGCTAGAATGAAATGTTGTGCGTCACTGACTGCTGGCTTTATCCAAACAGTTCACTTGGCATGCTTTGGGAGCAATTTTACATTTTTCAGTTCTGCTTACAGCACACAAAACAAAAACAGGACTTCTGTGACAGAGTAGAGCATAAATATTCATTTGAAAGACACACTGTACTGTCCTCCCATTAATTGCTGTGTTCCTTGTATTCATGAATGTCTGTAACTAATGACTAGCTGCCAGATTTTGATATTGTTTGTGAGCTCCTGAATAGCATATCCACATACTGTATAGTCTTCAAATTACATTTAGAAAATAGTCACATCTGGTAACACTGAAAAAAAATCTTTGTGCAAAATTCTTATGAAGGTCTTGATTGACTTTGTGCGTCTTACAAAGTGGAAAGAGCGCAGTGAAAGATGCAGAGCAATTTCAAAGCTCCTTTTTTATCACTTCAAAACAGTACCAAGCCGACAAGTCAAGTTAATCATCAGTCGCAGCCCCTCTCATTCAGCAACAATACCAAAGAGCCATGCATCACCGCTACTGACCACTTAAGACATCCACAGCTCTACAGAGCCCATTCAGCAGCAGTCAAAAAAGAAATCAAGGCTATTTTTTTCACTGTGCTTTTATGTCAAAGAGAGCAACTGAATGTGTGATTCGAGGCGGTGAGCTAGGCGTTGGAAGGCAGCTGGCACTCGACAGCATGAAAGCCTCAGCAATTCATTCCTTATACTCCCCCTTAGACAGGAACATAATACACAGCATTATTATGGAGTATGGTTGTAGACGAGGGGCGAAACACTCTCAAAGACCCATTGTGATTGCCAGTCTTGCCTCGTTTACTTTCAGCTGGATTTGTGGCTTCAGTTTATATCATGATTTCTGCATGGAAATGAGGGGTGAATAAGGAAAGCGTGAATGCTGAATCACTTGATAATGGCAGTGTTTTTCCTTTTCCTTTTTCCTCGTTGGGATTAAATGAATGAGATTTATTGGGAATGATTTTTTGGAATATGCACTGATTGACAGTAAAAGAGAAAGGAATGAGCTGGGAAACGTCACACAGACCAAGATGATCAGTAACAGTACTGCTCTGTACTAAACCTAAATGCTTGAACACTGAAACAGAAACATGATTACGATCTCTGTTTGATTATACGGATCTTGAGGTAGATTCATTTTTTGTGATCCAAAAGGTTAATAATACCACTGTCATAACGTATTAGAATTTTGCACAAGTTGCTTAGTGTAATTTTTTGAACATTCTCATTTATTTGAGGCATGCAGAAGGCAGGCTTTTCCTCCAAAACATGTGACTCACGTTTTGGAGAGAGCAGATTTTGGGACACTGCTCTGGGCTCTAAAAGTCTGTGCACATGTCATGTCATGACACGGACATTATGTCAATGTCAGACAATATAATAGAGGAGGGCTTTCTTGATGAGGAACATTCATCTGTTTTAGAAGAGGCTCCTTATCCTCTGAACAGAGGCAGACGTATTTCTAACTTTTTCTTGTCCATTTGTATCATCAGCGTTATCCCCTACTTCAGGTTAGACATGCAGTAGTTGCATGGCAACAAGACTGAAGTAACGCTCCTTGCACCTTTTGAGTCTGTTATCAGGAACAGTCACAGCTGCACTTTGTGTTGGATCAAGAGAAAACTTTTGGTTACCAGGGTAACCCCAGTTCTCTGAAAACCAAGTGAGTGATCTCACTGTGGGAAGCTCCTTCTGGCGTGACCAATCACGGAAGCTTCAATACCACCACATCCTGAGTTGTACAGGCAAGGCCGTTACACTTTATAAACGACCTAGTGCCCTACCCTGCATTCTCTCGTGCTTTCCTGTGAATATCATCAAGCTCCTCAGCTGTCCTGATGTCTGGATTTCCTCTTGATTACCACGTACCCTGCACACACAAGCAGAGCAGTGCTGTGAGATACCTCACTTGTTTTTCAGAAAAACGGGGTTCGTGGGGATGCCCAACTAGCAGCGGCACAGATGTCACTAACAGAAATGCCCCTGAATAGGGCCCCTGAGGTGGCCAGACCCCTGGTAGAATGAGCCTGCAGGCAGTCACAGCCTTCCCTCTGTGAGAAGGGGCCCAAGATACAAAAAGCTGGTTACTCTTGCTAAATCCCCAAGTCCTGTCCAAATAGATGCATAAGGTTCTTACGGGATAGAGGGAATAATCTGCTTCTCACTCTCCTCTGTAATAGGTGGTGAGTGAATGGCAAGCAGCTGCAGCTTGGGGCAGCTATATGAAGACTGGCAAACCTTAGGCTCAAAAGCGGGATTAGGGTGCAACATCAGCTTCCCATAGCCAGGGGAAAAATGCAAGCAGTATGCATGCACTGTATCTGTTTTGCCGACATCAGTGCCAGCAACAAATGCTCGAAAGGCACTGAACACTGAGAGTGCCTCCAAAACAGCTGGCAAGTCTCAGCTGACGGGCTCACTTCAGAAACCTCCTTAGAGAATGCTCTCCAATTGGCACATTCCTAAAACCCATGTGGCAGGCTGAAATCACTGCCAAATAAACGTCAACGGTCTATGGGGCCGATACCAGGTGAAGTACTTTGGGGTTGAGCATCCACTCGCCTTAGAGAGGATTTCCTCTGGGGAGCAAATCTGCCCCGCTGTTTTAATGCACTTGGGATGTGCGCCGCACGTAATGACAGCAGGTGCTCATTATCACACTCCACACCCTATCAATGAACCATCCTTTGACACTATTTTCTTTGTAGCCATTGTTCCCAAGGGGACGCTGGAGGTGGAAACTACTGGGTCACTCCAAGAGCTAGAAAACCTTCACCATTTGACTGAGATGGTGTCATACGTGCAGGTGTAAGGAGGACACCTAGCATTGGAAATCTGGCATCCTTAACAACCCCAGAGGCCATCAGCCTCCAGCCCGAGTTCCACCGGCGAAACAGAGCAAGGTGCTGGCAGAATTTCTCTGAGAACTTTCCAGTGTGCTTCCTATATGTGAAAATAAGTATTTGCGGAGGTGGAAGTTGACTGGAAACGTGACTGTGGTTTTGCTGCAAACTGAAGCCTGTAACCCATGGCTACGATTGTAAACACCCAGGTGTGAACTGCGCAGGTGCGCCATTCTTCTGCTTTGACATGGGCTTCAAGCTCCAAACTGGAGCAGCTGTGCCCTCTTGTGGTGACAGTATGCCTTGCTTCTCCCTACTGAGTGATCTGCTGGGCCGCAACATATGAGCGGGATGAAGAATGCCATTTTCATCATTCTCGTCACCAACGACATCCAAGTTTATTATCCTCATCCTCATCCCTGCCTTTTTGCTCGTCCCTAGGCAAGTTGGCTTTTAAGGTCTCTGACACTCTCAAGTGATGCTCCAGAATCCTCACCAGCATGGAGCAGCTCACAGATCGGAGTCCGTGAGTAATGCCTGGGCATTCGTAACATAGGCGTTGCAAAGAGAATGAGGGTCTCTCCCTGAGATGGTTAACCCACATGCAGCTGGGCGAGGGTTGAACTTGACATCCTTAACCTAGCTGCCACCAGCTTAGAGTATGCAGTGGTTGCCATTAATAGCTGAAAATCTTGATGGCTAGCAGCAGTAAGAACAAACACACATATCTCACCACCATGTGCTAGACTCATGGAAGGTCTGCCACAACATGACAACACCTACCTGAAGCAACAATAATTACATCCAAAAATCCTGACACCAGATATCTGGAGTGGTGATGGCGCAGTTGATAAGACACATGCCTCTGGTGTGAGACCCGGGTTCAATTCCCCACTGTGACCCATCCACCATTGTGTCCCTGAGCAAGACACTTAACCCTTAGTTTCTCCAGAGGTGTGCGACCTCTGACATGTATAGCAATTGTAAGTGGCTTTGAATAAAAGCGTCAGCTAAATGAATAAATGTAAATGTAAATATCTGTGCTCTGTGACTACCTTGATGGACATGGATTTTATTTGTGTAGAAGTGCAGTGACAGAGTGGTCAGGACAGTTGAGGAGCTTGAATGACCTTTGAGGCAAGGGCGTTTATAAAGGGGAACAGGCTGGCCTATACAACTCAAGATGATTGGTCTGTCTCCTAACGGACGTGGTGGTATTGGAGCTTCCATGATTGGTCACGCCAGAAGATCCTCCTGTAGTGAGATAGCGAGCGAGGTTTGAAAGAGAACCGCATCCTATGTGGTGATGATCGTATATGCAGTGACATTATTACAAGAAAAAATTATTTGTGAGGTAAATGTGTCATACTCTTTTTTCAGTCCTATATTGTAGTTCTGTGACTCTTGTGACACTTCTGATTGGCCAAGACCTGAAGCATGTTACCGGGCTGTTGTCCATATATGGAACACCGGCTCTGTCTGGCTCTATATTTCGTAGAACGGAGCCGTTGGTAGAAAAAGCAGTTCAAAACAGAGCGTTCAGAACAGGAGGAAATCTGCTCACAGAGATTTCTTCTAAATACTGTAACCTCGTTGTTTGAAACTTTGACCATGTTTAACATGAACATCCAACATTGTAACGTTGTAGAAAAGTCATAAAATGTGGAAAAGCATAATAGGTCTCCTTTAAGGAGAATACACTAGAGAAACATAAGGATTTTGCACAAATGATCCATTTCTCAAGTCAGGTGCCGGATATCTTAACCAGTAGAGAACACCCTAAATGTTTTAGCATTGCAAGCAATAATTTTTCATTTCAGATAATCATTTTCACTCTAATTGTCCACTCCTTCTTGCCCAGATACATATGTTAAGCTTACCTTACTGAACTCCATGGGCCACGAGATGTCCAAGTGTAAGACATCCATCCGTCGAGGTCAGCCCAACCCAATCTACAAAGAGACGTTTGTCTTCCAGGTAGCTCTTTTCCAGCTGTCGGACGTCACACTCATCCTCTCCGTCTACAACAAGCGCAGCATGAAGCGCAAGGAGTTGATTGGCTGGATTTCGCTAGGCCTCAACAGCTCTGGAGAGGAGGAGCTCACCCACTGGACTCAGATGAAAGAGTCTAAAGGACAGCAGGTTTGCCGTTGGCACAGTTTGCTGGAGTCCTAACAGCATGAGAACAGTAAGTGAAGGAAGTGTGTGAGGATAACTGCACAGAGCAGTTGTCATCCAAGACAAGAAATGGATAAGTTCAGTGGGATAGAGGAATGTGACAGACGTCCAGGGAATCAGTAGTGATGAAGAAAGAGGAACAGTACATGTGTCTGCACATCTGAGTTGTTCAACTTGGCATAGCATAAGCATTTTCATGGCACTGTTTTTAAAATCACTGACAGCCACTGATTAGTCGTATGGCTAGTAATGTCATTTTTTTCATGGATTGCCTTGTAATGACCTTTAAGTTTCAATAGATGGCACTGTGTTTTTGTCTGTTGTACTAGTTGAGCTGGGACCTGTTTCAAGAAGCAGGTTCTGGATAACACTGTTGAATAAATTATTGTCTGATAATTGTGTGTACGCACACCTCCAGCTCAAACAACTGACGTCAGGATTATACTTAATCTTATCAGTTCACAACTCTTGTGCAAGGCTCCGGAAACATGGCCCCCCTCTTTTGTTTTTCTGCTTGTGTACCGTACAACATGTTCATGTCATGAATGTAGTTCTTGAGTTGACCAAGAAAATAGTTTTCATTTAGAAGACAAAACAGGGCATGCATGGCCACTTTTCACATAACTATTAGTTATTTTCACCTTTGTCATGGACTTTGCACCACCATTTTTAAAACCTGTTTTCTTGTTCTTTCTATTTTTACCATGTACAGAGTGGTCTCGCATGAACTCAGCAGTTTCCACTGAAGATAGGACAGTTTTGGTTATATCTCATGAGAAATACATTTCTCTATTTGTGTTCTTGCGCTTTGTTTTTCTCTCTGGTTTCAAGTGGGCTGGGCTTAATTTGAAAAAGGTGACATCGTATTACCATGCACCAGTCAGAGTGTAGCAACATTTGAATCAAAATCTGATGACAGTTTTGGGATTGCTTGCGTATGTTACCCCAAACAAACAAAAGTTCTATTTCCACTGTTTGACTGCTGCTTAGTCATTTATAAACGAAAATTTTATGTTATAGAAGTAGTACTTTGAATTTTTTCATGTTATGAGAAAGCACACCAGTAAACAGGGAAGCACCAGTGCCATGCTCTGCCCACATCATCAGGGTACTTTTAGCACTGGAGCTGAATTTCTCCAGATGTCTGTTGTTTAAGACAGAGGTGTGGCTGCATTATGTTATCACTGCTATCTACCCTGTTTGTCACAATCAAATCATTGTATGTGGGCTGGAAACAAAAGACACACCACTGCTTCGGTCCAGGTAAGACACTAGTGAAACAAGTTTCATACATGAGTATGGATCAAATTGAGGTTAAATCACCATGTTGCTGATTATTGCTTTTAAACCTTAATTCTCCTCATCTCCATGTGTCTACTGCAAATTCATAGCAATTATATGTTGCACTCAAACGTGCAGGACTCTTTGGGGACAGGGGCTTGTGGAAAGATTTTTTCACAATATATTTTTATTTTAAAGGCCTAGGAAGCGGTGGCCATTTTGGATGGATTTCCAGAGAACTTGTGAAGAAGTCATTTGGAGACTTGAGCTGAATTACTACACTTCAATGAATCCCTCTCAGTCGACACTGCCGAGGCAAAAAATCACACCAATTGTCAAGAACCTCAGCTTGAGTAAACACAACAACAACTAAATAATTTTAGACATTTTTTGCCAGGCAAATAACATGTATGTATATTACTTGATATCACTGACAGTGAAAGTGGAAAGCTTGATGTTGACATGAAGTTGAGCACAGACATAAGCATTTCACATTGTTAGATATTTTTGGAAAACACCAGTGTGTGTGGAAACACTGACAGACTGAGACATGTTATATATAGAAAAGTGTAGTAGTTACTGTGGTGGTTTTGTGATCTTGCGTTGCTACCCACTATTCAAAAGTTACACAGAATGTTACAGAAGGCATATTCAGAGAAATTTAATGCACCTTTTTCTTGAATAAAAATAACTTCATAACACATCGCAGCAGTAAAGCTAACAGGTGAGAAGAAAATGTGTCAGTTATTCTCTTTTACCTGCTCTGGTGCTAATAAGTGCTGTGGCTGCATGCACAGAATCCCTTGCCTTACGGTTTAGTCAGTTAATAAATTTCTTTTTCAGTGGACCCGGTACAGAAACAGATATAGTCACACCTCAGAGCACACAGACCTGCATCTATAATTACAGAAAGCACACACAGCACCACTCAACCTCACTGAAGGGAATTCAAACTTTAAGTAATGTTTTATAGGAGCCACAGTGTGCATTGACAAACTTGCAGAATGTCTACAGGCCAGTGGGTTGTATTTTGAGCCGTGGCCACTTTCTCACGGCATTTCATTTACAGACAACAGAAAATACATAGACTCTTTACTGTGCCTGTGTTTGTGGTGAAAGCTAGCTTTGTGCAGTGTGTGTGTGTCTGTGTGTGTGTGTTGACTGGAGAGGTACAGTAAAGGGGGCGTGTGGGGGGCTGTGATATAAGTAGTTGTTGCATTTTCTTGTTGGGTGTGAGTAAAAGTAACCAACTTCTTGATTGTCTGCCATATACTTTATATAAAGTAAATGTTTTCTTATCTATTTTTGTATCAATAATGGAGAAGAAAATGTGTCAGGACAGTTAAATAGTGACTCAAATATTAACCCAATGCTGTTCTAGATTGCTACTATTGTTTATTCTGTTATTTAGTTTTATGTTTTAGAGGAGAAAATAACACAGTTATGTATAATAGCTTTGGTCCTCTTTTCATTCCCTTCTCTAAAACCAGAAAGGGATGTGACAGAGACCTGCAGAGCTCATCTCTAACAATCTGTCAAGACTCCACAGCTTTGATGCTTTTTAACAGTGTGAAACAAAAGCACAGCCTTTATAGCACAACAGTGAAACACACCATGTAAAAGATAGCTTGGCAGTAACTCACTTGTAGATTTAGAGGTCCATAAACACAATTTGAATCCAAAATTGCATTTGATTTCACTTTATTAAATTAATTATATGACGCCATTTATGAATATAACTAGCTTTTAAGTGTGATCTTTTATTAGTAGGAGTGTGATTGCAGCCATTTTCATATTAACAGTGAAGAAGTTATATATATTGTGTATCTTGAATTTTTACCTCGATAATGAACATTGGTAACAATAAAGTTCGTCAGCAACTCTTCACAAAATAAATAGTAGAAAGAATTAGCAACTGGAAATTGAAAATGTATTGAAAATATACACTCACACTTTCCATAGAGCACCACACATCCTATTATTAATGTGAATAAAGTGCCACTTAATGTTAAAACAAAGTCTTGTTTTTAAACTACGGAAGCAAAAAAAGACCAAAAGGATATGATTCTAGCAAGCAAATGAATACCAAGATGTGAAATTTAGCTGTTACTTAATTTGAATTTATAGCTTTGAAACATTTTATTGTGAAAACACACTATCTGAATTTGTGTAGTAATTTTTTTATTTTTTTACAGGATAATTTCAAGTTGAATCAGAACCTTGTTTTTAAATGGGTTTTAGGGTTCACAAATCCAGATGGTGTTTTGAATATTAAAGAAAAACTATATTCTTGTTGCTCAAATTCTGCAGGTCATTTTCAGATCTAAAAATTCAAGTAAAGTAAAAAAAACAAACAAACAAAAAATTGGATTGGAAAAGTCTTACATCAAAATTCAAGATGCAAAATTAAAACTTCTGGGCTACCAATTCTTGATCCTATTAATTCAGTGGTATTTAAATGTCAACAATAAGTACTCAGCAGCTCTCAAAATTCACATTATTATGGCTTTTCTTTGCTTCCGTACAAACAACACAAAGACCAATTAGAACAATATTCTAGCCCATTGCTCTGCTAATTTTTACAAGCTGTGTTCCACTAATAAGGTTTTTAAAACAATGCTTTTCAGTATTGTTTCTTTTGCTTTCATTTTCATGACACATTTGGAAAAATCTTCTGGTTTTAATGCTTTAGTGCTTTTTTTCTTTTTAGTTTGGAAACTACCTATGCCACAGACGGCATTGGTGCCTTACTAGTTTTTCACTCAGCAACCTTGTGTCACAGTGTCTTAAAGTAATTGTAAATGAACTTTTCTTCTGTACTTCAGAGTTTGATTTGTAAAATGTCTTAAAATTAATTTATGATAGAGAGAATTTATATGTGATGATGATATTGTTTTAAAAAGAAAAAAAAACAAGTTTGTGTTGGAGCAGTTTTTTGTACCACATCTCATTACATCGTTGTGTGGATTTTAACATATTGTCATTCACCCTACAGCAACTACAAAATGTGTTGATATGAACAAACATCTACAGTGTTGAGCCCTCTCACACTGTGAGGGTTTGGGTTTTTGTTAAGTTTTGAGTTAGATATATGTCCATTGCTTACTCCGCATCGCCACAAACCAACCAACAGGTGGAGCAAATATTGCATTTTACTGCTTATTTGGATGTGTTTGACAAATACCTTCCTGGTTTGGCAACTCCAATAATTTAATAATTTTGACATTTTCTTAGTTAAATTCAAAACTATGAGAATTCATATGAATTCATATGGGTGCTACAAAGTTTGTCTTTGATAGCAGATTGCTGGTGGGGAGTTGCTGACATGTACAGGGGTGGCTCATTTGAAAACATACTATTTTTGCCCTGTGGGTAGAAGTAACTACTGAACTGTCAAAAGTAAATAAGATTCAAGGCCAACAAATATTTCGGAATGAAAAAGGTTTTGTAGAATTGTGGGATTTTGGGGAAATAATGAAAATGGCATTAGTTCACTCGTAATTACAGACATGGAAAATACAAAAAGATGTACAGCTGGATGTTCATTATATCCATTATACCTTCCTTATTTGAGTCCAAATGTGATCTTGTAGTTTCTTTTCCTTCAGATGTGTATTTTAAAAGTACAAAGGCACTTCAGGGGACACTTATGAGCAATGTTTCCTCTTAGGCTGATCATTTTGTGAGCGACATATTATCACACAGACAGATAATAACTTTCAAGTATAGGTTTTTGTTCCACTCTGCAGAGACCTTGCTGTGATGTAGGTCTGAATGATTCGACGCCCCTGCTCTGTGTGATCTGAATCTTTCAGTGGTAGTTTTAGCTATTGGGGAGAGAAAACGGTAAAGAGAGAGAAAACAAGATCAGAGATGGAAGGTTTTTACAATTAACTGTGTTCTCCAGCACATTCCACAGCTGAACACAGAACAAAGCGCTCAGGGGAGAAAATAAGATTCAGTGGCTGCTGCTGAATCAAAGGGGAAATGCATGACAGATGAGAGGGTTTTGCTCCCTCCCCTCTCTTTGTCGGTCACATCCCTGCAGAGCAGATCTCCAACACACAACCAGTCTAAGAAAAGTGTTAGATTGCCTTCAAGTGCTGTCGGGAATATGACAATTATGAATTTACTGCACAGGCTCGAAAAAAAGGTTTTAATGTGACATTTAGTAGACTAAGAAAAAAAATGAACACAAAGGCTAATAAAAAGATTGTTAAGCAAGTAGCCTACACAGTAAAACTGGAGATGGATGGCTATGTAAATAGCTTGATGGCTGAGTAATAGTATTAAGTGGGCGTACAAACATACCAGAAACAATTAGCCTAACGATTATTAATGAAACATAATTAAAGCTAAAATCATTAGTCAGTTAAATAGTAGAATTTTGATTAGCAGTCCATTGCTATGGAATATTTTTGAGTTTTGGACTGATGGTCGAACCAAAGAAGACATTCAGATTTTTTACTGATCAAACTATAATTTAATTGATAAATTAAGAATATTTGGTAAATTAAGTGATCATTTAAAAATAATGTTAGTTGCAGTCCGAATTTTGATATATTCTGATCGATTGATTCATTCGATTGATTCATTGTTTAAACATAAAAAAAAAAAATCTAAATATCAAAATTCCCTGATTCTAGCTTTATAAATGTGTAGATGTGCGGCTGGTGTTACATGATACAAAATGAAATATCATTCAACTATGGAAATAGTTATGACATTTTGTAGACCAAACAATTGGTCAGTTAATCGAGAAAATAACAAATTAGTTGACGATGAAAATAATGGTTAGTTGTAGCCAAGCAGCCAAGCTCAACAGGAGCATCAATTCAAAAGATGCCCCGATAAGTCACCGACTGTTCAAACAGGCTACAACTTCAGAACCGAGAGTGTGGAAAGTTCCGAGCAGCACCTGAACTCCTCAGCAGTAGTTGGAGGGGACGGAGCTGCGAGCCTGGTGTTGTTTTCTCCACCGCACATTCATTGCCAACTGTCAACCGAGGCGAAACGGCGTGAGCTGCGCGGGACCTTCTGCATGGGAACCCACCCTGAATGGACTACCATAGCACCAAAAGAACCCCAAGCCCACCTTTGTATTTCACTGAGGAAAAGAAAAACAACAGCTGTCTACATTTGCCACTGAGGAAAGCGCGTAGGGATGCTTTGCGCGGGTATAGTGAGAGCTACGCGCGCGCTTAATGGTTAGTATTTAGACAAGTAGCTAATTAACTAGTAATTACGTAAGTGGTATTTAAACCGCCAGTGTGTTTCTTGTCTGCTGCTAGTAGGCTAAAATTAGAACAACGCGCTGCCAACGGAAGACACGGTAGTATTTATTCAGTAGGAGTTTTTCATATTTCATCAACGCGCCTTGGATTTCAGTCGTTGTCACAAAGCAAGTGTGGAGCCGAGGAAGAGGTCAGAACAATTCAAGACAGGTAATGTAACGTTGCTTTAGTCAAATGTGTCAACATGTTTTGTCGTTGAGTTTAACGTCCAGTGACTTTAGCAGTGAAAAGTAGCAGCCTGATAATATCATTTTTGCTGTAAGTTATTCCTTAACGCTGTTTCTCTCTCACACAGGTTTTTATATGATTTGACAAGTGTTTGTCTTTGTCTCCATGATGTAATAATTAATAAAACCTTTAAGTATTTGGACTCAAACTCAAGTGTAACGTTAAGTTGTTGAGGCCCATCCTTCATATGCCATTCAATGAAATCACATTGAGAGGTAAACATTAACTTAAGTTAAGGCTATTTAAAAGAAAATATGAATTAAAATTAATTACTACTTGTATTACTTTTTTTTTTTTAAATCAGTCAAGTAAAGTGAACACTGATGATACAAACTTGACACGCAGGCCAATAAAACATAGCAGATACCTAAAATGTAATGTTTTGTTAATGGGTATTCTGTTGATTTAAAAAAAATTGTTTCAGTCAAGGCAAAGTGGTTCATTTACTTAATCTCTTAACCGGACTGATTAAATTATTGGATAAACTAGTAGTAGAACGATTTTATCTGATACTGCAGGATTAATGAGAATCAGGGCAGTCAATAGCTCACAAGTATGACATGACAGAGACCCTGGTCTAACACATTATGCAGGCTGACATAACCAGCCCCCCTCCTGGCATCCATCCAGCCTCACTTCATTATTTTGTGGGGGACTGCTCTTGGCTGCAAATCCCGAAGTGGTGGTTGCCTGTATTACTGCTGCCTTGTGAAAGGAAGGGGGTTTAGACGATTGAGCTGAATTTTGAGCTTCTGTTGTAATTCTCTCATTGATGTCATGTCTGTGCTGCCTTAGACTTAGTGTCACGAGCATCGACTCGCTCAGAGCGGACCATTAACACCCTGTTAGCCTCAAAGAGGATTAAAAAAATTCAAACATAGCAAGTCTTATGGAGTGAGGGCAATAAATGTACAATATCTCCCCTCCGGCTCTCTCTGTCTGTCGCTGCCCTTTTGGTGAAAGAAAGGCTTCGAGCGCAGTGGGTTGGTAATAGTGTTGGATGCGCTTCACCTCGACTCTGTGCCAACAACATCCGGAGTCACTTGCCAGGAATTCCACCTTTGGTATTTGTTTCCCTTGGAGGGAAAAGTGTCTTACGTAGAATATAGTGAGATACGCAACAGGGAGGAACATCCAGCTCAGATTAAACACACCAGAGAAGAGGGGCTGTAACAAGAGGAAGCGCCCTGGCGTTGCAGCATGGTGGACGGGTTCCTGGCGTCTAGCTTGGGCAAATCCGATGCCAGATTCCTTCTCTTTGCCTCCTGCCAACGCCAACCACCCCTCCGTCTTTATCAAAAGCCCTCGCTGCGATTTCTCTCTTCCAGTTCTGTCGCGGCACTATCAATCATATCTTGCTCTCAGCAGACTCGTCTACTCATTAAGGATGTGAACCTGTAGGTAGCCTGAAGCCCCCCCCCCCCCCCCCTGCCTCCCCTCCCTTCCTCGCCATTCATCTCTCTCAGCAGGGCGCAGAGACACACATCTGGAGCAGCATTTCAAAACATGGCTCTTAGCAGACGTGTAGTGTACGCTGAAGGAGATTCGATACATTTTTTAAAGGCTACCTTTCAGCAGACGTGGTGCCAGGCATAAAATTAACAGCACTCAAAGTGTGTGGTTTTTAATGTGGCAAAAAAAGGCAGAAAAGGCAGGTGAAGTAGATGATAAATGTTACAGTACATAGGCACGTTGAGATTACCACCAACAGACACAAACGCTAATAGTGTGTCACTGGCAATGAGAAATAGTCTGGCTTCACATCTCATTCCCTTTGTCCCTCTCCTTCTCTGCTCTGTTTTGTATAAAAGGTCTCAGGCAAGACAAGTTGAGCTGCTTCAGTGTGTGTGTTTGTGTGTGTGTGTGTGTGTGTGTGTGAGGACTGCAGGGTGTAGCCCCAGACTTCTTTTTTCCCCTCAGGCACTGCTTCCCCATCATGAATACGCCTTTGTGCTCCAGAAAGACACGCGGCTAAAGGTGAACAACTTGAGAGGAAAAGGAGAACACACATTTGTTTCTACACAGGTGCAAAACTAGAGGAAGGTGTGACATGACATGTATTTATAGCGAAGACTTCACTTTCGCTGAAATTTACAAACCGGTGATCCTGCACCTAAAAGTCCTGTGGTGACTCCAAAAAAATATTTTCTCAAATTTTCCTTCGAGTGCTTTAAGTGTCTGTAATGAATTTAGACCTGCATAGGGACATTCATTTATTGAGACAAGACAGAATTGATGCATCATGTACAGACACTGGTCCAAAATGCCTCACATTCCACGAAGGAAAAGTAGTTTATCACTGAATGTAAAGGTAACATATTTGTAGTGGATTTCAGACCCTTTTCATACGCTTTAAAAATGACTCATACTCTAATATAAAAACCATACCTTGAAAATCCCTTTAACAATAAGGGACTGGCGTTATACAGGAACGTGACAAACAAGTGTTTGTTTTTTTAATACACACTGATGCCCTTGTCTGTCTTTAATGTGCTGCATCCACCTCTGGGAGCGTGGCTGTGACGTACCCACAGACCCCCTAGCCTGTTAACCCTGACAGCCACAACAAGCCGTCCCCAGATAGTCCATAATGCAGACCCGTACAGCTGCCCTGTCACAACACATGTGTCACCACTCAGCACGAACAGCGGCGGGCGAAACCCTAAGGGCCCTGAACCCAGCTTAGTCACGCCACCGCGGCTCTCTACCAACTGCGAGCTGCTCTGATGACTCCTGACAGGCTGCAAACTGGCACAAACACAATCTAAGATGCATCCAAAAAAAAAGAAGAGGAACAGCGAAACTATTACGTAGGAAGGGCAGAGGAGGGTGCATCTTGGTTGGCTGGTATTTTTGTCCAACATCGGGGTATCCTTGAAAAGCCGTAATTTAGATAACGAAAGCGTAAAGCCTGAAATGGTAACATACATTTGTGAAAGGTTATTCCCGCATTTGTGTGATGAGATGATTTATCAGTGTCGTTCACAAATTGAGATTCACACACAGTGTTCCCAAACTAAATGGAAAAGTCAGGTGTGGGCAGATTGTATTGATTGATTAGGAAGAGTAAATACCATCAGCACAAGATTTAATATGCTGCCAAGTACTTTATACAGGTCTTTATATGATTATAGAGCTGGGGATGGCTGGGGATCTTTTTGTCACAATTATTGACTGACCTTGACATTCTCAAGCAGTAGATTAAGAATTTAAAAAAGGTGGCAAAAACTTGTGTGAGATGCAAATGAAAAACCTTAGAAGTTACTATGGGCTTTATGATGAACATCTTGAATTGTGGCACAAAGCATTGTGACTGCACATTACATCCTTCATGTTCCTGCCGAATATATCTACGACCAGATGTGGAACAAGTGAACACAGTGGGGCTAATTTAAGAAAGGAGACCCAAGATATCAACCAGCATGGCTCTTTGGCAAGCCTGACACGTTTTGCAAATATGCATGGTCATCATGTGCAAGAGTTTGCATACTTGTCTCCCAACAGAACTGGATGTAACATTAACATGTGTACAAGGAGGCAAGTGTCGAATTCACTAGAACATCCCCAGACTTTCAGCTTTGTTGACATCCCGCTGAAGCTAGTTCAGTCCCTTTCTTCTTACACTGAAGAAGCATTGGGAGCCAGGCTGTTTAACAGTAATCTAAATGACAGCTTACAAGTCTTAAGACACACAAAACACTACTTTTTGTGTCTCTAATCCTATTCAAAATCCTACTGTGTATAAGGATCTAATGTCACACTTGAATATGTAAAGGAGGAGACCTATGTGTAGCCATAGATGTTGATATTAAAGAGGTTGTCAGAGCAAGGTTTTTGTGAAAGGCCAAAAAGCACAGATTTTGTTATTGCAGTGATTGATTTTTTGAACATGCCTCTGCACAGCATCTCTGGGCTTTTCTGTCTAATTTGCCCAACATGGCTGCTCTTAGTTTCTGAGTGACTGTGGTCCACTCTACTTGCAGGGGGCTAATTGCTTGCTATTTGAGTGTCTCAGTTTTGATTCATGGCGTGCAGTGCCTTGTTGGTACTCTGAAGGAGAACTTGATGTCATGACACCTATTATCTATTCTCTATCTGTTCTCTATTGCTGTGTGCTTCACCCTCTTATGCCAGCACTTGCTCACTCTCCGCCCCCACATCAACAGGCATATTGATGTAGCTTCTCCATATTGAGAAGAAGTGGGCTGTACAGTATCTAGGCTTAGAGTTCTTATGTTCCATCATCTATTTTATTTGGGGTTTTTTTCTCCCTGATTTTCTAATTGGAATTTACCTGCAGTTTTCACCTTATAGTTGCAGGTAGAAAATAAATGCTTAAAATGTATTTATTATTAAACTACCTTGATATTTGGTCTTAACTGAGCTTTTCAAACTATGATAATAACATCCAGGAATTCTAGTAGTATTTGCAAAAGGATATTCATGCATGCTGCGAGCATGGGAGGGGTTGGCGTGATATACATTCTTGACAACTGTAGGGCATTAGTGGATATTGACAGTTTTGACTGATAAGCATCAGTAATGATGGCAGTGCACCAGTAAAAGAGGAAGAGAAGACAGAAAGTTAGTGCAAAGTACTGTACCTTTAACTAAAAATATATAAATGGCAAATATGTAACAGGAAAAAAAACAGATTATTAAAATGGAAACAGAGCAGTATTCATAAATGAAGCCAGTATGTAACACCACACAAAGAGGGCACTGGGTTTTTTAGTGTTGTGCTTGTTAAACTTGAACAGGACATTCAATGAACTGTGAAATTACTTTCAGCCAGCAGTTGACTGATCCTAGATTAGGCCGATATCAAAGCAATAACTATATTTATTTTAATTTTATTATTGATTTGTTTTTAACCCTAACATAATATAAACAAACATTTTTGATGAGGATCCCTTAAATTT